GTTCAAGATCAGCGGGACTGACTTCTCCAACCTAGACTATCTCATGATTTTATGAAATTGCTATTGGCAAATAAGCAGTCAGCTCATATTGTGGTAGGCAGAGGTGCATATTCGAAGAAAACAATCGTATATTGGAAGATATCCGTTTTAATTTTTTGGCAGAGTTCAACATTTTGATACGAAGCTAAACTTATATGATGTCAGCGCAAATTATTTCTAAAAGGACTGTATGATCAACGTTCGGAGGTCAAACGCATCGGCTGCCAACTTCCAGTCGGAAAGAAACGTACGCTCATCTACTGGCGCAAGATGTAATATAATCGATATTACTGCTGTATCCAACGCAAATCTGTTCATGTTAGAAGATCTTCGATATAAGTAGACTTTCTATCTTGTTACTGTAAATAATAAATGGCATCATTTTGCAAAGTTATATGATACACTGCACTGAACTTCGAGGTAGAATCATATCGTAAGATTCTATCGCAGGAAGCCCAGCGATCCTGTACGACGCACTGTCTTTTCCTTCAGACATTTACACCATTGCAGCCGCAGAGAAAAATCGAAAGTGTTGGTGGAAATGAATCTGGAGACCATTTTCATCATCAGGCGGAATTCCCGGAATGTTAAGTCAACCGACTCAATAATTGTCGCAAACTTTTGTAACCATCAATTGCTCGAATCTTGTATTTTTGTTTATTTGTCAATGTTTCATCTACCAAACTGCTGGGTTGCTCTTTTCGGAGCTATTTAAAGTTCTGGCTCACTGGCTCAGCTGGAATACCGGCCATATTAGAGTTTTCAATGAGTCGCTCTCCTTTCATAAGCAAGCTAAAGCTTCCCAGCGTTGCACCGTCTTCCATAACACCATCATAAAGGGTAATGGATGCTGATCCAATGGTACACCCATTACCTATCTTCAATTGAGACATTTTCATGACTCTGTCCTCAAAGAGATGGGTTTGCAATATACAGTCAGATCCAATTGCACAATCGTCGCCGACCGTTAGTAGGTCAGCTTCAATGACCATAGTGGTCTCCAACCATACGTTCCTTCCAATGTTTCCTCCTAGTAGTCGGAACCACATATTGACAAAAGGTGTACCACGGAGGTGCGAGATCAATACCACGTTGATGAATGCTTCTTCCAAGGCCGTGATCAACTCGGTACGCCATACAAAGCTACTCCACAGAGGTGCTTCCCTTGCGCAATACCTTCCTATCAATACATACTTGAAAATCAGGACCACAAAGGCACAAACGACAGCCATGAGAATATAGACAATAGGAAAGAGGAACCAGAGAGTCACCTCAGATACCAGTCCAATATCTTTCATAGCGAATATCAATATAATGGATGAATACGCGTGTAGCAAGTAAAGGATAGGTGGAAGTATGATACGCCATATTTCAATTGAGATGCGGGCCAAGTACAAGTGCCAGGGAGGCTCAAATGTTCTCTCTATATCCACTTTTCCAGAGGCAGTTGCCCGCCTTGGCAGGAACATTCCAGGTGAGCCCAGGTAAGATTTTCCATCAGGTATTTTCTGAGTAATAATTGCATCTTCTGATACTTGTGTGTCCTCCACGGTCGGTAAGGGTGGTCGTGAAAGAGCTCCAAGCAGACAATTGTTTCCTATCTCCACACCAGTAGGCACATATGCTGAATTTCCAAGGAAAGACCTCTCGCCCACAGTTACTTCAGATATCTGAACCCATCCTTGATGAACTTTATGTGGTCCTAAATAGACTGCATCGGCGACGAAGCTCCCGTCTTTCAGAGTAACCAAATCGAGGGTGATATGTCTAGTTGTCGCGATCTCACAATGCTTTCCTATTTTAGCACCCATCATTTTGAACCTACAACAACCGTAGTATTAGTAAATAACTTGTAAGTCGTATTACATAGACCTATTGTTGTCACTTACCAGACTGGCAGTAGCAATGTAGCATACAAAGACAGAACTATGGTCAAGCTGAGCTGCATCAGCGAATCGACAAAGCGTTTCCTCATACAGAGCCAACTGTTGACATGAATGACCTTGTGAGCAGAGGTTTTCAGATCTCCTATCAAAATCCATTTGATTGCCGTAGTTTCCAAGCAGAAAGTCACCACATACAATATTCCGGAAATGGCTGGAGTCAGTATTATACAAATAATTGATATTGCTTGTTGCGTGGCATTCTTGTCCACATCTGATGTGTAGAACAGAGGTTTTCCATAGCGATCCATAACGAACAGAAAAAGAATGACACTTGGAATAACCGCGGCGAACATGACCGATAAGAGACCAAAAAATGCAAAGCATTCAAGGACAGATGACAGCCACCGAGGAAGTCTCCTGCTGTCAATGTCTTTGGAGAATGCCCTGGTATAAGGATCTTGAGCAGCTTCTGCAAAGCAGCATCCGAGGTCTTCTCTACTGCACTCGTATATAGGAGAAGCCGTGTAGGACTTGCCTTGCTGTAACTTTGCATTTTCCGGTACCATAGAGAATTCGCCTATCAGCGTGTCATCAGGAATGACTGTATTAATTGATAAATGGGATTTGGATCCAATATAGCAGCCAGCGCCGATGTCGATGTTCCCAATTATAAGCCAGCCTTGACGGTGACCCTTTTCATCTGCTTTGTCCATTTGAACTTTGAAACCTTCCATAAAAACATCAATACCAATACTCGTGTCATCCCCAATATGGATCATATCTAGACAGGATATGTATGGCGTTTCGATATGTACATTTTTTCCAATCTTCGCACCCAGGAGACGATAGAACCAGACCAGGACGGGCCATCCTTTAAATATTTGTAGAGGCAGAAGCTTGGTGAGACGATGAACCAGCCACCATCTCCAATAGTAAGTTCCCCAAAGAGGATATTTCCCAGGCTTGATTCTTCCAATTACAACCCATTTTACCAGTATTATGAGTAATGGAGATAGTACAAATGTAATATTCATAGCAATGAGAAGCAATAAGGCTGACATCAAAGTCGTTAGTGTGCTGGATAGTTGTTCTAAATTTTTGTAATCTTGGGTCAATGCAGACACTCCCGCTTTGGCGGTGGAGACAGTTCCAGTATACATAGATATGACAGATTTGATATCGACGTAATTATGAGTCCAGGACGGAAGAAGGAGCGGTAAGCTTGCAAACCAGAAAACGCAATACAGGCCAATGAACATACAAATGTATTTTACAATAACCTGAGTATAGGATCTCAATGTAGGAGATCCATTGCCAGATCCAATGTCCTTCTCAGATACGTACGTTTGCGAGTCATCACATTCAAACTTCTTCGATACAGACTGCATACCAATATCATCCAGTCTTTCAGCAAATTCCTTCAAGGTGCGATATTTGTAGACGTCTGTCATTCCTACGTTAGCATACATAGGGTCTGACCTTAAGGAAGAGACAAGCTTTGCTGCCGTCATAGAGTGGCCGCCAAGATCGAAAAAATCGGAATCCAGTACATTGACCACATTGTCAAGAACCAAAAGCTTTGCCCAAAGTCGTGCGACTGTCCGCTGTGTCAAACTGAAGCTTTCATCCATAAAGAGACCATCTTCTGAAAGTTCTGACATAAGAAAAACGAGACAAGTTAATTTTTTAGCTACCTGCAGTATTGATAGCCATGGAGACACATACCTATTTTTTCAATGGGTTTCGGTAGCATTTTTCTGTTCACCTTGCCGCTCGCTAAGGTTGGAATCTCCTCAATCAGCTGGAAGACGGAGGGAATCATGTAATCTGGAAGGTGCTGTTTCAACTCTTCTTTGGCTGCACTGGAGTTAAATGGTGCTGTTCCTTCCTTCGTTACAATGTAAGCAACAAAGAGTTCTTCAGGTTCTTCTGAGCTGGACACGTCGCCTTTCCAAAGGTGGACTACCGCATTTGCTACTTGTAAACAGCATCGGATGATCACTGCTTCCACTTCCGACAGTTCCACGCGGTAACCTCGTATCTTCACTTGCATGTCAATGCGACCCATATACTCTATGCTTCCTTCTGGTAGACTTGACGTTTTCTGAGATACAGATGGTGGAATATATCGTGCCAAGTCACCCGTTTTATACAATCGAGGTGAATTAGAAATTTGGGGTGCAAAAGGGTTTTCAATGAACTTTTCCTTGTTCAATTCTGGTCTGTTGAGATACCCTCTAGCAACACTGAAATGTGCTTAAGTCGTTAGTAACTTCATCCTATTTAGATAAAGAACGGACTAATTCACTTGTAACTTACCCAATGCCTCCTATATGAAGTTCGCCTATGGCGCCAATCGGAACAGGCTGGAGATGGGGATCAAGGATGTAGACCTCATAATTTGGCACTGCTGTACCGATGCTAACAATACCGTCGCCGGCTCGGCAGTCACTGTACGTGGCGATAACTGGTACTAGAAATCAGAAACCATGCGTTCTTGTTCGCTTGTAAAATGGTCATTAACATACCTGTTGCTTCGGTTGGCCCGTACGTATTGACCATTCGCCTTTGGCCGTTCAAGCTCCACTTATCTATTACGTCCTTGGAGCAAGCTTCGCCGCCTACAATAAGCGTTTTGACGGTAGGGAGCAAATGGTCATTCCTCTTCTCATTTTCGCAGCTGACGGTACTTAACATGGTTAACATAGTTGGTACGCAGGACAGCACGGTAACTTTTGCATTTGTGATGTATTGTGTGAGTTGTGCTCCAGAATGCATCATATCTTCGGTAGGAACATAGAGGGTGGCCCCATTGAAAAAAGCCAACCAGATCGTTTCAATAGAGGCATCAAATGCCAAAGAAAAATTTTGGAAGACGATATCCTTTTCTGTCAGCGGAAAAATACTGGATTCTGAGAGGACCAAATTTACGGCGCTTTGGTGCTCAATAATGCAGCCTTTTGGCTTTCCAGTACTACCTATCGTTATTTGATTGACACGAAGGTTAGATGTTTAGAAAATCATCACCGCAATCCAGATAATGAATGGCCATACCTGATGTATAAATAACGTAACAGGCACCGTTTGTATTCACGTTGTACCTGGGACGAATGCCTTGCTCTACCACAGACAGGAAACCGATGGATGATGATTTCGAGCAACAAATATCATCCCAAATCAGAATTTCAGTTTCAAACGCTTGCTCGCTTCCTTTCATGCCAATCTGGTATTCTCTAAGTTTTGTTCCAAGATCAGCGGTTGTAATGATGGACTTTGCCTTACAATCTTGTAGGATATAAGCAACTCTATCCATTGGAAAAGATATATCCAAAGGAACATATGCAGCTCCACTCTTTAGGATTCCTAACATACAAATATATGATTCAGCGCATCGGGGAAATAGATGGGCAATAAATACATTCTCAAGTGTGGTAGGAGGTAGATGATCGAAGTTCTTGCTGTTTGACATGAGACGAATGGCCACCTTGTCAGCCTCAGCGTTTGCTTCTCGGTAAGTGTATTTAACAGGTTTTGAAACATCTTCGTGAGCAATGGCGGTGTTTTCAGGATGCAGTTCCACTTGACGCTCAAATAACATATGCAGTAATTTGACATCTCCTATCTTATCGTACAATTCCGGCTGTGGGCAGTTGTTCCAAACGGTTAAAAGAGTACTTCGCTCTTCCTGACTGAGTATATTAATATCTCCCACTTTCTTGTTGGCCAGTTCTAAGGGAGCCGCTTTAAGTTGCAGAAAAAGAGATTCCCAGTGTGATGTTATGTCAATAGCATGTGGTTCTGAGAAGGACAGAATCTTGGCGAATGAAAAGGTGGTCGTAAACACATTTTGATAGCTTTGGAATCTAAAATACAAGCCACCTGCAATGGACATGTCTACGACTTCGGCTGACTCATTGGCTTGATCCTGGAGGCAAATATAGTCAACATGGCTGAGTGGAGGCAGTTGGCCATTGTGGCTGGCTGACAATAATGAATTTTTGACTTGAATCACTAGATGCAGTAAATCGCTGCTAGGTGGTACAGACACTTGAAGGCTGATATTTCTAGACTGTTCCCTTTGAGTTTTGAAAGACACCGTGTACTGAAATGATGGCGATGACGTGTAGCGAAATAGCAAGACACTACAAATCGCAAGTATGCCCGGTAGCGATGTATCTTGACCCAGAGTAGCTTCACTACTTTCAGCAATTCCAGAATCTTGTAACGAAGCGGGTCGATGGTTGAGCAACGAGGAAAGAGTGCGCTCAATTTCCATTGCACTGCTGGTGCGAACATGGCACTGGAGATTGTAAGGAAGGTCCAACTTAGCACTCAATGCCTTCATGTTCAATATAATTAGAAAGAGAAGGTACTGAAAAATAAGTCAATCGAATTTGATCTCGCCCTTTATGCCTCCGTTGAGTTTTACCGATTATGCGTTAGGGGCTATAACACGAGGTGGTATATAATATTTTACTGAATGTTTTTCAGCGGCAGGCTTCATATTTTCTCCTTATCAAAAGCAGACCTGCAAGACCTCTAAATGCCCATGAATACGCTAGGCTGCGCCCCTTTCAAATTTGCCATCGTTCATACGGAGCAATATATCGTTCACTTTATGGGTTTACTTCAATTCATCATTATGATGCCAAAGGAAACAACAAAAACAAATCATCCTGCACATGCACAGTAATTACGTGTCTTGGCAATAACCCATAAATTCACCTAATTTGGGACATTTTGTTGATCATGCGGGCCGAACACCAGGTAAATTGTTCTCCCAAAGTAAGGGAACTTTCCAGATGACATTAATCACCCAGTCAATTCATAACATACAACATCAGAGATCATCATAACTCTTTCATTATGGCCAAAATAAAGCAGCACAGAGACTATTTTACAACTTGCGCATCGTATAATTGCGCTTGGCAATGAATCAGCCACAGCAGCATGCTCATATCTGTCATTACGATTCTCAACTGTACTGTATGCGGTAGAACATTGGCTTATACCTGCATCGGTTTTACTACCCAGCTTTGGGACGTCGATTAGGCGGTATCGATCAATTGGAGCATTTGTTTGCTTACATCAATGCGGTTTTCGTCGGCGGTAAATTGGGACTCCAGGAGGGAATCCAGGAAGGAAAGAAAATCGTCTAAAACTTCATGAAACTGAAAACTGTCAGCAATTGCATACCGGGTTTCAAAGACATTTTTATTTTGGGATGGAAGGTGTCGCAAAGAAATATTGCGGCTTGTTTAAAAATAAAACCTTGCAGTAACGAAACAGGCACAAAGGTCCTTTGAACGTCCCAATAGTTTTTGGGTTGCTCCTTCTCCTTCTCCTTGCCGCCCCGCCCCCGCCACTCCGATATGATGCATTCTCCCAGGATGCGATAAAATAAAAGAGTAGATGGTGCGCAAAATATTACGGAGGTATCCTTGAAAGCTTACCAATAGAGTTAAATGACTCTTGGTCATCCTTGTCCCATCTAGATGCCATGAGCGAATGCCGACGCGGTGTTTCTACAAAATATGTATTTCTCAATTTTTAATTGACGCATTTAAGCCAATTATTTTCTTTGAAAGTTTAAACAGGTACGACCAGCCTCCAGGACTTTGTTTGCACGATACTGTTCCCTTTTCAAATCACGATAAATGAATATGTTGAATGAGTTTCAACAAATCAGAGCAGAAGCCAAAATTAGGAGAAAAGGAATATATGATCCTTAACGAAGGGCTGCCACCCAAATTTCATGTAAATAAAGGGATGAACCGATGTTTGACGATATAACTATTCAAAGAGAGCTGTAGAGGAGGTGCACGTTTTGTGTAAAAGGCAAGTACATCAGAAAACGCGTATATAGACTTGAACCTCAGCAGAAAGATATTGAATACTTTTAATTGTTCAAAAAGATACTTCGCCGCCCCATCCATCATGTTTTATTCACTTGTACTTTTACAGATTATCTGCTTGAAAATTGCCGTCATAATTTCACCACAATGCTTCCTAGTGAAATTTATCTATGTAAACAACGATATGCTCTTGATGAATATCGTTATTATGGTCGTTTGATATTTGAAGTATTATCTCAAGCGACTTGTATTCCCCTACCAACAGATCAATATAGGTGACGGCAAATCAACAGATTGCGGAAATGAAATCAAACACTGTATTATGAAACAAATAAGGCTGACGGTCGAGCAAAATATGGCATCTTTCATGTAGCGTACCTTCTTGTGCCTGGAGCTATCTGTTTCTGTTTCTGATTCTTCATATTCGCAAGTGGTTTGATAATCATGCAACTTGGCTCACCTATTTCACCCAACTTCAAGCTTTGCAATGTCATAGGCCACCCCTTGAATTCAAACACGGGGGATTTTTTTCTCCGAGGTGCAGGAAAAATATTTGTTTTCGTTGGGCGTAATAAAAATACATCGCAAAATTGAGTACAGTATAGGTACATAAACCTAAAGCGAAGGTTAGGTCATTGATAAGGAACGAATGCTTTACATCTACTTGGCTCTAGATTGTACACGGCAAGGAAGATGCCATGTGGCGAACCGCCTGAAATGGGATGGCGACGAACTGTGAGCAACCGGCAAAAAATGAATTTTGTAGCCTGATCTGGAAATTTACTACAATAAAGAACGAACTAAGCTCTATTTCAACCTTCTTTACCATCAATTTTACCAAATACGACTGGGATTACTATAACAGCTCAGCTCGCTACCTAACTCTTGTAGAACATAGTACAATCGCCAATATTCATGTAATTCGCATCATGAGATATTTAAACCATGATATGAAATTACCTGCATCTACACTCTTGGCTTGTCATTTTCGCGACAGAATCATGAAAATAGCCCATTTCATTGCCTTGGCCTGCTTCCTCAGTTTTGCAGCAGCCAAGCCAGATTCGCTGGCATCGCAGAATTCACCAGTGGTAAAAGTCCTGGAAATAGAGCAGGTCGATTTGGTGCCAATCCAAATACCATCGACTCACCCATGTAAAGTCAATATCGTGACCCATACCGTAGGAACCGGCCCATCGCAAACATACAACACTACATACGTACCTCCAAAAGACTGTCCTGGGCCATGGAGCAAAGTCGTCTTGACTTACACTGGAGCATCAAAGGGAAGGGTGAGAGATATAAAATATATAAGCAAGAACCAAACCATTCTTGAATGCTGAAATCTCTATACAGCAATACGACCGCTTATCAGCCATCTGGATGGGTGGGGTAGGTCCATGATAACGCGTGAATTTTCAGTCACAAAGCAAAGTAATTTAAAAACTGGTATCTTTCTCGCAGGTGGAAGTATTGCGAACTTCGACAGCGGAGCCAACAAATAATGGCATTCACTGGAAGTTTGAAAAGGTCAATATTTTCAGTTATGATGTGTTTTCACTTGCAGCCGCATTAACTCTTCATATTACAGGATGTCACTGCATACTCCTCTGTGTTTGAGAGCAATCAGCATTTGGTGATGGAGCTTGGCAACGTCTTAAATGACATCTACAACGGCAGCTACATCATCACAACCGACCTCACGTTTTATGGCACCGACAAGCACAACCCAAGTCCTTCGGTTGCCGATACGATTGTACCAATCAGCAGTGGCTCGCAAGATCAAGCATGGTATCATCTGTCCGATGCGACGGACCTCAGCAGCACGAACGTTACACTCCCACGCAATATCCGAGCTGCATATCTTGAGGTTTACGCTTCTGGTCAATCAAATGATGAGTTTTGGTACTCTAATCCGACAACTGATTATGCTGATAAAGTCAATCTCACTGGAATAGCCAATGGTGGGTGCTGTGAATACACATATTTTGAGGTATCAAATGTACGGAGAATGAGACTAAAACCGCCGTTCCTGAATTATCAGGTCCTTATCGCGAAGTATTGGCTTATTTTGACGAGAGATTAGTGGGTGCAACCGTACCTCACCCTGTGGTATTCACAGGTGGTATTGTACCAAGTCTTTGGAGACCTACCGTTTCCATTGGAGGAGCTTTCAACATTCCTTCAACATGGATTGATGTGTCTCCTTTTGTTGGTCTAATGGTAGATGGAAAACAGCACACTATTAAATTTCAGGTAAGCATACTTAGATCTGAAAGTCATAATGTTGTACAATCCAATTAAGGCATATCATCTTATATAGGTGGTCAATGCCGAGTCTTTCTGGCTCATCGATGGTAATTTACACCTATGGCTTGACAAGGACAGCCATCAAACGTCGGGAGCGGTGACCAGTACCAAAATCAGTCCTAATGCTACCCTGAGTGTGCATGAGGAAATTCAGAAGAACCTTGATGCTGTTATCACAGTCAAAGGCTCTAGATCCGTACATGTCGAAGGATACGTCGATACATCGCAAGGGCGAATAATCAATACGTACAAATCTAGCCTTCAATATCAAAATCGCCTTTATTTTGCTAATGATACCAGCAACAGTAAGTCAATCAAATTGCAGTCGGTAAAAACAGGAGTTTGCTACGAAGACTAATGCGATACAGGCTCTTGGGCACAAACAACCGTGCAGTCCGCCAGTTCCCAGCAGATTCCTCAAAGAAAAAATGCTTCGTTCCCAGTGCATACATTGTCGACTGATTTCAATTGGAACATCGGTGGCGGAAACAATTTTACTGTTTTTGGTGACCAATCAATTCGTATTGATGGCTGGATCGACTCCAGTAATGATGAGAAAATAGCTGAAAAGTGGGGTAAAGATAAGACAAATTCATGGACTTTTGCCAAACAAGATGGTACTGCTTATTATGCCGCCAATGCGCTTTCCAATGCCAATAATACTCATGGCATGGGTCAGACTAAGACAAGCGTTGATTATCGCAGTGGCAACACATGCTACCATCGCCAAGTTTCCGCATATAACTCTACCATTTTGTCTGATAAAATCAGTAGCCACTGTTAGAGGATCTGCCTCAAAGCATTCAGAACGATTGAATGACATTTATATAATAAATAAATGCTATTATTTACCTCCTCAATGTTTCCAGATGAATATTCTGGCTTCCGAATGGAAAGTATCATTCAAACATCTATCGGCATGGACAACAAGAGACATTTGCAACTACAGGACAGACAATAGTAGTATACTTTTACAGCTACCTCAATGCCATGTGTCAATTAGTGGGGCCAAAACCATACTTATGCTAAAGGAATTAATTAGTGGAAAATACCGTTACAACATCAAGCAAGAACCCCATGCTTGGGACTACTCCGCGAAAAGTTGCTGCATTTAAAAATCAATTTGTTATCGGTTGTCATTTGAAATGGCAGGCTTTGAAGAAAGAGCTGCAGATTTTCATCAGTGATCACCGAAAAATCAACGTGAATATCTGGAAAACCATTTCACTGAAGCATCGGATAGTTACCACCTTAACCCCCCCCCCCTAGCCAGCGTTAGTGCAGTATGAGCAGCCATCTGGAAACCTTATTGATATCATACAATAGAGCAAAAACCTTGGTCTTTTTTAAATGCTTTTTCATTTATTGGATCCAAATGTTTTCTCTAAAAGAATAGTATATATATCATGTAATGTATCGTCAATAAAGTGATGTCTACAAACAAAATAACCCCCAAAAAATTTATGCTGGCTTCCACATTTGGAATTATATTCAGGCGGAGGACCGTGACGCGCCACGTCGAGTTTTTAACCTCAGATACGCGACCGACCGCGTCGTGTCGTTCTGCCCAAAGCTCCCCTCTTCCTCAATGGATGTTAGAGATTTAACGTTACGCCATTACGACTGCCAAGTAACTATCAAGCCAAACAGTGGGAACCCACTCACTTGGACTGAAGCTCTGGTTTCTTTTGTGAAAGGTACGTATACTACTATACCGGCCGGCTCTGAATCCATTGTATACTGACACCGCACAATCCCCACAGCAAACGACTTATTGCATCTTCAAATCACTCAATCGTGTGGTCAAGAAGTGAAAGCGTTTCAGGTAATTTTCCAATACTAAAATTGAAGCCATGGCCAGTATTTTCTAAACCTTGTGTTTCCTTTGTGGCGGTTAGCTGACCAAAAACATCAAATCATGCTTTTCATGGGCTGACACATCAGCAAACAGAGTAACACTGCGAACCATGAATCCTAATGTCAAGTTTACTCTCAATTTTCAAACAAAAGAAGCTGAAACGGTGGTCGGGGGTTTCCTGAAGAAAATTCAATACAATCAAGGTAAAAATTGGTGAAGGGAAGACTTCATGCTAGAAATTGATCCGCTAAAGCTGATGGGTCGTATTGATAGAACATGAAGACGCCCAGGCAGTCAACGCATTGACCACCATATCTGCCTATCCCAAAAAAAGGAAAGCCGTTACCTACGCGAGTAAGCCGCCATTGCAGAAGAAATCCTTAACCGCCTTCTCATACGCTCCTCTAAACAACTTTGACGAGATTAACGAATCATCAATACCAACCGCTAAGTCATCTAACCCCGCAGCGCGGCAGGAAGCTACAAAGCCATTAGCTACGATTGACAATATCAACGAGCCGAGAAAGGACGCTCCGCATACCGCTAAGCCATTAATCCCGGCAGCGCGGCAGGAAGCTACGAAACCATTAGCTGCGATTGACAATATCAACGAGCCGAGAAAGGGCCCTCCACATACCGCTAAGCTTACCGTTCAAAAGAAGATCTCTAGCTCCTTTGCACCCATCAATAATTTTGACAACATTGAAGAAAATCCGAAGGTAACGTAAGATGGTTTTGTATGGACTACTGTCCGTGTTAAAATCATACATTATGCTTACGATTTTCATTTTCAGCATACCTCAGCTTCTTCTGAACGAGATGCTCTTTCCAGTTTGGATAACAACGTGAGGCGCAACAGTAAGTGTTCCTACGACTATTAGATTTTTCATTCGACGTAGACTGATATGCCCTGGATCAATTTTCTCCACGAAGGTCGCGTACTAAGCAGATCACCTATCCCATCTGAGGACCGCTCGACTGACATATGTGTATCTCCTCCTCGACACCAACGTTCGCCTTCCAAAATCAATCAAACCTCAAGTCAGGGTTCTAACCCAGGGGGAAGCCCTGTCAGGAACGGAAAAAAGCAAAGATCTCCCACTTCTTCACCGCGATCCTCATCAGGGCAAGTTATTTTGATGGGTGCTTTGTAATCTTTATACCGGTAACTTACCTTTCTCATCCCATAGACTATCCAATCTTGGCAATACTTGTTACGTGAATTCAATACTACAGTCACTTTTGAGCTTAAAAAGCTTTTGTCGCGCATTACTAGACGTACATGTGGAAAGCCAGGATAAGATTGAAGGGACCCTATACCAGTAAGCTTAATATCATTACGGGATGACATTGAATGTCTAACTGACATACATAATATTTTTAGATCACTTACCAAGATTCTTCGATTGCGTATCTCACATCCCAATGAGATGATCGAACAGGATGATTTGCAGACATGTATAGCAAGGACATCGGAAAGGTTTACCAAGCATCAGCAAGAGGTGAGTATTAAGTAGCGAAATACTCCTTTATAGCATATAGCTGACTTACGTCATAACAGGATTCGCATGAATATCTGAGTATGTGCTTGAACAAGCTTCACAACGATACGGTCGAAGTCAGTCAAGAGCTCGACGACAGCTGCTATGAAAAGGACGGCAAATGCTGTCCAGTGGATGAACATTTTCAATGCCGAGTTACGTCCACACTTAGCTGCACGCAGTGTTCCTGGTCATCCACGCACTTTGAAGTTTTCCGTGATTTATCATTGAATCTCCCTGACAGTAGCGAGTGGCAGTAAGTGCCTTTGGTTAATATAAAGTGTGTAGCGGTAGAAATAGCGACTGATAATTGATTTTTAGATGCAGTGATCCTATTGGCGTTGATATTCCTACCTTGCTTTTTCAATACTTTATGGTAAGAGACTACGTAACGTTTTGTAGCGGTGTTCACGGAATATGCTGAACACGCTGCTTTAATCAGGATGAGAAAGTGTCATACAAGTGCGAGGAGTGCCAATGCACAGAGGCGATAGTTCGAAAGAAAATCAATCGACCACCAAGGACACTAGTTCTTCATTTGAAACGGTTCACCAAAGATATGTACGATGATGTTTGTCGAAAGAGGAACGATTGTATACAGGTGCGACCGACGTTAAATCTTGGTAAGGCGTTGTCTGTGCTATCACATTCGCTTTTTGTACGTTACTAACCGGTTTGTGAATAGGGCCATGGTGCACAGATGAAGTCAATATACCCGAAAGATCAATTCCATCAGAACCAGAAAGCGATTCCGATTTAGATCAAGATAATGAACAGCAAGGCGAACCCGAAGTACATACTTATCTGGCAAGCAATGAGACCAAAGAGAACGGTCTTCGTCCTTTGGCGGAACTCCAACGTCTGGCGGCTGCTGAATACCAAAGAAGTCGTGGGGTACGCGTGGAGTATAAATTGCAGAGCGTCGTAAGTCACCATGGCGGTACCATCAAAAGGGGACATTTTGTATGTGATGTTCGGCAAGAAGACGGATGGGTCTGCTATAATGACTCAGTATCTAGTCACCTCGGTTCTGTCCAAGGCATGGCCGAAAAAAGGAAGAAGGATGCCTATCTGCTCTTTTACCAATTAAATTAAAGGAAAATCATGTAAAGAAATAAAAAATTCAATCCCACTCCCAGGTTTCCCACGCTGTCTTTTCCCTTGTAGTCTATCCCCTCCCTGCCATTGCGAGATGTTAAGACAATTGTCATTTGCCTCGGTTTTAAAGACACGTTCAGTCCCTTATTTGCTTCATCGCAAGGTAATTGCTATTTCTCCACTTAGTCTTTCTGCCCACTCATACTTACTCAACCGAGCTCAGGCACTTTACAGTAGCAGCTCTGCCGCGCTTCAGCATCAAGAAAAAATCAAGCTTACGCCGTCGCTTGAGACCGTATTTTCTCCTGAATTCAAATTCATACAGAATGCTGAGCCTATTCCTGCCTATCGCGTCATGGATCAATCTGGCAAGGTCCTGGACGAATCACAAGGCCCAGATGTATCCAAGGAGTTTGCCATCAATATCTACCAGAAGATGCTGACTCTGAATATTATGGATAATATTTTGTATGAAGCACAGCGCCAGGGAAGAATCAGCTTTTATATGACCCATTATGGTGAAGAAGCTTTCATGGGAAGTGCAGCTGCTTTTAGCCCTGAAGATGTCGTTTTTGGCCAGGTACGTTTGCTGCTTTGCCTAGATACGTGATCACAACTACCGTGTCAGGGTGCTGAAGTTAAATTTCATTAGTATCGTGAAGCAACGGTTTTGATGTATCGTGGATTCACCATGGATGAATTCATGAATCAGTGCTACTCAAACGACGCGGATTATGGTAAGGGCCGACAAATGCCCGTCCATTATGGATCAAAGAAATTGAACTTCCAGACTATTTCGTCTCCGTTGGGCACACAAATTCCACAGGCTACGGGGGCAGGTTATGCTCTCAAGCTTTCTAATCGTAAAGCATGTGCTGTTTGCTTCTTTGGCGAAGGAGCTGCTTCAGAAGGTGATTTTCATGCTGGTATGAACATGGCAGCCACTTTGAGCAGCCCCGTCATATTTATATGGTACGTCTCTGATTTATCTTATGAATTATAAAAAATAATGACTTCGGCACTGACTTCCTTATGTCTATACGCAGTCGCAATAACGGCTATGCTATCTCAACACCATCAACTGAACAATACAAAGGAGACGGTATAGCCAGCAGAGGTGTTGGATACGGAATGGATACTATCCGCGTCGACGGTAATGATGTTTGGGCAGTTTATAATGCCAGTGTAGCTGCTCGTAAGCTCGCGGTAGAGAAAAATCGCCCTGTCTTAATTGAAGCTATGACCTATCGCGTTGGCCACCACTCTACCTCCGATGATTCGTCTAAATATAGAGACCGCCATGAAGTAGAAAGGCGAGCGGAAATGGATAACCCAATTACGAGATTACGAAAGTGGCTCGAGCTGAAGGAATGGTGGACAAAGGAAGAAGAAGATCAGTACCGAAAAGAAGCCAGAAAAGGCATCATGAAGAGCTTCCTAGCGGCTGAAAAACGCAAGAAGCCCTCGGTTGAAGAACTTTTCACAGATGTATACGATGAACTTCCCCCCAATTTGGTTGAACAACGACAAGAACTTGCTGATTTGATGAAAAAGTACCCAGAGCACTATTCCACTGACAATTATGTGTCTGGCCTGAAATAAATGTAATTGCTCGTCGGAGTTAAAGCTGCTCTAGAGTGCCATACATCCGTATGATATGCCGCATAACGACCTTTGAAGGATGTCCCTTCCTTTTTGAAGATGAAGAATACATAAACATGTTAAATTGACCTTAGATATATATGTATTTCAACTCGTGTTTGCGTAGCGGTGGTAATTGAAAGACAACAAAAACAAACGATAAGGAAGATCAGCACTAGAATACATATTAGTAGTGAATGAAATACCTGGTACGATAAGGAAAGGTCGACAGCAATGCAAGCCAACCGATGTGCATGGTTGTAATAATAGTGATGCCTTAACTTTGAGAGGCAACAATTTTCTCTGGGAACGCTGGTTGTGAAGCTGGAATTAAGATTCAAAAATTGGTTGGGTAAGTGGGATTTTCGTGCTACCAGACGTTTCCAGCTCTTGACCTTCTTGCCATGCCAGCTCTAGATTTGAAAGGCTGCATTGAAGACTCTCCCGTCTTTCGGCGACGCATTGCAGCTCATGAGGAATCCATTTCCAATTTCGATACCTCGCTTAAATCTTTGGTCAAGTTGGTGAAATCCCAACTCGATCTATCTACAGGTACAGATCACTTTCCGCTGCCTGCGTCAAAGCTAGATGTGGTCTAACCGGTCTAATCCGCATTCCAGAATTTAGCCAAAGACAATCACAAATTGCCGTCGAATTCAATACCATTGCGTCAGGTCAAGATGACCCTATAGTTGGTATGTATTCGCCGCAAGCGCTTGCAACGCTGTACTCCTAAATATCTGCACTTGAAGTCTCGATCATAATATGATTTATGTTCTCTCTAGGTCACGCGCTTGACAAGTTTGCAAAGTCATTGACAGAGGTCGAAAAATGCCGCAATCTGATGGTTAGTCTGTTATGCTTGCTATGATTTTTGGTTGTACCGGAGTTACTCAAATGGTTGCATAACGATAGAATACACATATCAGTTCGATGTTTCTTGAACCATTGGAACAATTTATTCGAGCTGAATTGGCACCTGTAAAGGTAAGAGTGACTTCACATCATACATGGAAATGAGGGTTCTATAGGCAAGTGACACCCGTTTCGATTTAGGAACTGAAGAAGAAATTCGAACGTTCGAGCGACGATGTTGACAGTTCATTAGTGAAATACATGTCAAAGAAACCAAAAGATCAAATGATAGCTGAGGCATCTCGAGACTTATACGAAAATCGACTCAAATTCCAAGCGGATTACATGGAGTATGTCATGAAATTAAATGAAGTTGAAGCAAAAAAGAAGTTCGATTTTGTCGAAAACGTAAGGGGTTTTCTCATGCATTGATATATGATATGACTGCTGACTCACAGTGTTTTGGAGAACAGATCCTTGGATATATGTATACTTCCTCTGTATTTCATCATCAGGGATACGAAATTTTAAAAGATCTAGAGCCATATATGAGAGATCTAACAGGTATGACTGTTGTTTGTTACACATTATAAAATGGGCTACTTGTAACTCACTCAACCATTTTGAACAACCGCAGGACTTTTGCAAGATGTAAGTTGTTGTTCTTGGAATAGGATGCGGCGCATATCAGTCATTAATATCAAAACAGTCAAGGCAAAGATATAGTGAAGAGCTAGAGGAGGGTCAAAAATACCAAAGTGAATGTTTTCAAGTAAGTGTTCAAAGCTCACGCCACCGCTTCCTCAAAAACGAGTCAACTTATACGATATATAGACTATGGTGGAGAATGGGAAGTTGTCCACAGAGGATAAGTCAAGAACATCATCCATGTCATCGGGACGAACGACGTCAAACGATATGGTTCCCAAGGCACAAGGACCAGTGTCTAAATCGGGTTATCTTTTCGAAAGAAGATCAGGAAGGATGTTACAAAGCTGGACCAGACGCTATTATACCATTGATGGTGAAGATCTTGTAGCCACTACACGAAACCCTAAGGTTCGTTAGAACCCTCTCTTATATTTACAATTAACTGAGGAGACTGATGCCTTGTTGATTAGATGGGAAGAGAAGAAGACCAAGCAACCTCAATGAACCTCCGCGTGTGTAGTATTCGAGTGGCAGACGGCTATGATAGACGATTTTGTTTTGAAATTATTTCTCCTTCACGGTATGGCTTTGTGATGTGCTTTGGTTTGGATATGCATTTATTTCACATATATGCTGACGTCCCATTTGGTCACTAGCGTAACCGTTCTGCAGGCAGAAAACGAACAAGACGTTTTAGATTGGGTTAATAGCTTGAAGATGGTAAACCAGCTTGCATTGAACTCTGACAAGACTCTAGCATCCTCATTCCGCATCTTTGGAGGCGGCAAGGTAAGGTGCCGCACAATGCCAGTTAACACTCATCGTACAAAGCGCTAATCAATCCCATAGAAACCGATCTCCGATACCAAGTTTGACAACAAGCCGTTACCTATGACCTCTGAACCTAGTACAGAAGGCGACAAAGCACTGTTCAAGCAGGTCCGAAATATGCCAGGCAACAATTTCTGTGCCGACTGTAGAGCAGCTGGTAAGTGATAATTCTTCTTTGACAAAGACGTCAAATCCTAGCTGATCAAGTATTTTTTTTTTGCTAGATCCGGATTGGGCTAGTATCAACCTTGGCACCTTGTTGTGTATTGAATGCTCTGGTATTCATCGAAGTTTGGGAGTTCACGTTAGCAAGGTTCGCTCAGTCACACTGGATAAATGGGAAACTGAATCAATTGAGGTAAGCATTTTCTACTTATATTAGCCAGTTACCGGACGTTGCTGTTTACGATGACCATTATCTTCACAGATCATGTTGCTCCTTGGTAATGTCAAAACAAATGAGATCTTTGAAGCTCGATTGCTGTCGGAACAGCAAGATAGGCCAGTGAACCCTGCTTCATCAAGAGCCGAGAAAACTGCTTTTATTACCGACAAGTATGTTCATAAGAAGTATATTGCTGAAACGTCAGAGGAAGAAGCAGAAGGCTTGAATGAAGTAAGTTGTCATCGATCGCACGCATGTAAGCAACAAAGGATTCTATTCCTAACACATGAAACAGCAATTTTGGAAAGCTATCAAGAACCCCAACCTGCACACAGCCCTTCGTTGCTTGGCTTTAGGAGCAAACATTAATTACCGCAACCCGGATGAAAAATTGTATACAGGACTTCACGTGGCTGTATTGCAAGAAGACATCATTGCAGTGGAGTTTCTCTTGCAGTGGTTCTGTGACGTTGATGAAAAAGACGATGATGGATGGACAGCATTGCACCTTGCAGCGGCTGAGAACAATGTCAGGTTTGTTCTTACCTTACTGAAGCGACATGCTAAGCCGGATATTAAGAGTAATGCTGGCAAAGTGAGTACCTTTTCCCCCATGAGTTTTGATATTTTTAAAGTCCACGGTTCTAATGGATTGGCGAAAGACTGCGTTAGATATTGCTGTGGATCAACAACACGTTCAAGCCGTAACAGCGCTACGATTGTTTGCGTTTGACAAACAACACAATGCATCGCCAGCCAGCTCATCGGATTTCGGATTTCGAGAAGCTATGTCCTCGTTTAAATCATCACCACTGGAGTCACGGAACAGCTCAGCGTCTCACTCTGCATTGGACTTGAGAACAACCGTGACAACAAATTCAAATCTAAGCGCGGTTGAAAAAACGTCCATACTTAACGATGATCAAAATTCCTCACTATTACGGCCGTCTGGTTAGACGGGTAGACCCGTCATAGAGCATAGATTGCGACTTAGATTATTTCACAAAGAGATTATTCATCTCTGTGTACAATAAACCCGTTTATATATATCGTACCCATTCGCATAATCCCTCAATAAAGCATTATCCACCGGCCGTAGCCTCAAATCAATTATAACAGGCAAGATCATGGTATTAGACATGTCCAGAATGTCCAGTGTATCGTATTATTATTGAGGTATATAATTACAAGTTTGAATGTACAACTTTGTGCACTGAAAAAAGTAAAGGAAGGAATAAAGTAAAGTAAAAAATAAAGGAGAACCCGCATGAGCAGTGCCAATCCCACGGGTGTTCATGCCTTTATTTCTTGTGGATCTTTGGGCGGCCACGTGGTTTATGCTCCACATCTTTGCAGCCAGTCTTTCCTGTAGACACGCAGCGTTTACAAGGGCGCATATCGTCACAGCGAAGATGGGAACGCTTGCAATGGTTGCATGCTTTGTCGACATTGCGGCCCTTCTTGCTATGGTTGTGGGTTGAAATAGCGGTTGCATGACGGTAGTCGTCGTCATCTTCGTCATCTTCATCGTCAACATAAGGGGTATCATCCTCTTCTTCTTCTTCTGAAGCACCATGGCAAGCCAAATCGCGAGTGATAGAATCAGAGAGGGTTAGGGCATTGGAGGATTGTGTCAAGGATGCCAGGGAGGAGGTGGATCGAGCACTGTGGGGTGGAGACTCAAATTTTCTTCGAGCTTTGTCAGTTCGTTTTCCCATGTTTTTAGCTTGATTGACAGAGGTGAGGTATAAGTTTGTGAAAGATTTTTTGGATAACTTTCGCTGACCAAGAGACTTGCTGTTCAAGGTGCCTGAGCTTTGAGACTTTTTGATCTTGATGAAAATTTTCTTATCCTGAGCAGGTGGGTTCCTCCAGGCCGTAAACATATCCGACTGTCTGGAACTGAACAAGTCATCGACTTCGGAATCTTCATCTGAATTGTTGGATGTCTCAGACGATGAGAAGGATCGAGTGTGTTTTGGTGATAATGATGTATCTGAACCACTCTTGGATGAAAATATGGAGGAATATTGTGGGCTATTGGACGAGGGAGCTGACATTTTCTCGTCCACCATCTGATGCTTATCATTAGCTACCCTCGTTGGTTGGCCGCTAAAGTTTTTACAATCTATATCAGATACAAGTGAATTTACATCCTAATGGATTAAGAAGTCAGTAAATATGGGGAATTGATCAAGATGAGATACGACTTTATCAGTAGATAACTTACATTCATTGATACGTAATTGCAAGACATTCCTCCTATCGCCGTTTCAATCGCTTCGTTTGTAAAACAGCTGTCTTGTTGCTGTTGCATTAAACTATTGACCAGGAAGTCTCCGTCTACGTTGTTCATGGTTGGCATGTACGCATCCATAGAATCGTATAGCCAGTTGTACTGTTTATGGTCAGTTGTGTCCGCTGCAAGGTAGCCAAAATCCGTTGAAAATGTTGCGCCGGATCCCAACCTAGACGATCGAGGCGACAATGTAGCGTATCCAAAACTAGGCTCAAATATATTCTCAGAATGATGATTAGGTACTCCCATCATATTGATCGGCTGTTGCTGATGATATACCGAATAGTCGTTGCTCGTGGTTTCCATTTGAGTATTCGCTCTGGATTGTGGCAGATTGGTCTGAAGAGAGTTCACCAGAAATTGATGCTCATCAAAGTCTGGTAAGCTGACATTAGACGACATGATAGAGGCCGTCGAAGAAGAGTTGCTGAGACTGGGTTCATGCAATGGCTCAAGAAAATTATAAATGTGAAAGTAATTGAAAGCAGTATCCATTGTTTGCCAGAGGATAAAAATATACAGCTAGGGATTTTTCAAGGGTGAGATAAAAAAGATAATAAAGAGAGACACGCGAGGTTTGGGAGATTGAGGAAGGGGAATTAGGAAGGGCACAGGTTATTAGAACAGAAGTGTATGAAAGAGAGAATAAAATATAATCTCAAAATAAGTATACAATCTTGCTATGTAGATTGAGTAGAAAAGGAGTGGAAAGGGGTTATGAAGAAAAAGCAAATGGCTAGAGAAAGAGGTTCTGCTAAATACTCATTAAGTTTGTGGAGACATTCTCCATATCTGGTTTTGTTTTGTTATGCCTTTTTTTTTGGGGGGGGGGGGAAAGATCGCTTTCGTTATGCGATTCTGTCAAACATGTTGTGTTATATCATTTCATCAACATATTCACATTAGTGTGTTCACTTGGCATTCTATTGTTCTATTTGCTTTGCCCTTTCTTACAGCTCCTTTTTGCCATGTTCCACCCCAGTGTAAATTGCTTTAGTCAGTCCGTGGTGACTTTAGCCTTCCAAATAGTGTTTTAAAGAAGGTAAGAAATCGTGTCATGCATATCTCGTTCGGTAGCAAATGCGACGAAGAACTGAAGAAATCCAAGTTACTATATGCATCCAGAATACCGTGAACTGACGGCCAGACGCAAAACGTATTGCTATAATGGGCGATTTTTCACGTCCTCTCAGGAAGATCAAATTAATTTTTGATTGTAAAGAGGAATTTGAAACAGGACTCGAATCGGTGACCGAGCGACCCAGAAGAAAGAGAAAAAATATGTCTATCACGTTTTTTACTTGGTCTGTGATGAAGGTTTGGGTATGCATTCTACGCACGTCCCAGTATTTAGAAAAGTAATGTTCGAATATTTGTTGTTTAGAGCACACTCTAAATCATTGTCTATTGATATCCATTCAAATATGGCTCCACACCGATTTTTGTAAACAAGACACACCATATTACGTTATCCGTTTCCTCTGTGCACCAGCTTTCTTAAAATAACAGTAGCCATCATGGCGACCGTGAGATCATTTCATGCTCATCCAATGCACAAACAAAAGTTTTGAACAGATCCTTAGAATAAAATTCGAGTTTTCAATTGACGTTAGAAAAACATTTAATGCAGAAAGAATGGTCTTCTTCAAAACCGCCCCTTTCTGGGCCATTACTACTGGTAATAACGAGTAACAAAGATCTACGCTCTATGCTATCGTCATAGTCACCTTCATGATTTTCCAATTATAGTCCAGATGGTTAGGGCTTGGTAAGATTCAATATACCAACATTCTTTGCCAACATTCGCAACTCCCTTCTCTACCACGTTTCCTATGCACTATACGTCATTAAAATGCCTTGTTGAATGATACCTGCTCGTGAGGTGATGTGGTGCAACATTTCGCCATTCAAATGTTTTATTATATCCGTTGTTGTTCTAAAAATGTACACATTGACATTGAATGATTGTATGCAAGATAGCGATCATATACAACTGCTTGCTACAAAACAGTAGCGATGCGTCTCCGTAATTTGGAGGAGGAGGAGGGGGTATAACTAGTCTTCATCGCTACTGCTGTCATCTCCATATGCAACCAAAGACTGAATCGGTGGTAGCTTGGTTGTTAGCGGCTTCGTTGCGGTCTTCTCCTCTTTGTTAGCTGTGACCTCCCTGCTTTCCACATGTTTTCGCTTTGCAGATTTTTCATCACTTTTGTCATCTCCTTTTCGTTTTTTGGATACAACTACACCTTGCAGCAGGTCCTTGGTTGATTTACTGTTCTTCGTTTGAGCTTTAATCACTGCTGGTGTATCCTTCTTGGCATTGTCATTACTATCTTTCTTCATTAGACTGACCGCAGGCACTGGACCGCTAGCTTGTCCGACAGCTCTGGTGGAATAAGTATAGAGATATATTAAAGTAATTGTTATACGTATTCCATGCATCAGCCAAACAAAATCACGTACTGGCGGTACTCTTCCAGCTGCTTCATCTCTTGCCTTTTCTTCTCAAGCTCAGCTTGGAATTGTGTATCACCCAGTGTTCTATAGTACTCCATTTCTTCGTCGTCCACTCGTTTGACCAAATTACTGAATCGCATAGCTTCCTTGAGAGCGTCTTCCTTGAGCGTCTTTTGTTCTTGCAAACGCTCATATAGCGTTCGAGGATCATAGGGCTCACTAGGAACATTGGTGTTCGTATCCTCTGACGATGATGTGTTAGCATGTTGGCTACAATACTTTGAGACACCATAGATTGGTAAAGTCATTCACCTTGCTCAGCCTCGGATCGCACTTTGTCCCATTCAATTTGTTTGGCATTGCCTTGTTCATCAAGTACTTCTCTAGACACAAACGAGCTCGAGATGTTGAAAGACATTTCGCGTAGGTTACTAGCTTCTAGGAAAAAACTGGGCAGCCAAAGCAACACTTGCACAAAAAAAAAAAAAATGGGGAAAAATTAGGGTGTAAAAAATTCTCGTATGTCTTGTAAGGTTTTCGGTTTCTTTTACTTTAATGAGAGAACCACAAGTGTGTTAAACGTAAAATTGCTATGATTAATGAGCGCTTATTGTAAGCTAAGTTGCGCCAACAAAATCAACTATCAAGAAACACATTCATATGTACATAAAACGCTCGATCATTCTGCAGCGACACCTTGCTCCGTGGTAGCAGGAGAAGCGTTTTGTGGTGAGTCGTTGGCTGGAGGCGCAGATGATTCACGGTTTTCTGAAGGTGCCTCATTGTACCATGCCATCTCTAATGGTTTTCCTTGCAGCGTATTTGCGCCACGGGCAAGTGCAACTTCCGCTTCACGACGATTTTTGAATTGTACGATGATGGACTCTACATCGTCCTTATATGATACGGCCTCTAACTGACCAAATTGCTAATAAAAAATTATGGGGAAATTTTCCATGACGTTAATAAATATTTCTATCTTTGAGAAAAGTATCTTTCAATATAACATACCTCAAAGTGTTGACGAAGTTTATCCTTATCCTCTTGAGGATGGTTTTTGACCAATAGCTTTGTCGTTCGATTATCCAATCGATAGGATTTTTGAATGCCACCTGGAGCGCCGCGTGGCTGCCAGCCTCCACGACCGCGGCTAGCATAAAAGCCACCACGGCCTCTACCACGACCTCTACCTGCGGCTCCATGAATGCCAAGAGCAGCAGCCTAAACATCAATTACGATTAATATATTGAACAATACTTGTGAATTTGCGCTCAAGAAGTGCAACTTACTTCAGCTTCCAATCGAGCTAATTTGGCTTTCAATTCATCTGCTGATTCCGCTTTCTTCGCATCGTCTGTTTCTGGTTGCTCACTAGGTGCAGTTTCAGTCACAGTTGGTGCTGCTGGTGCTGGTGCTGGTGCAGACGATGAAGCGGTGATGTTATTCAGAGCGGTCATGATCTCACTGCGCTCTTCTGGCGTTTTCGCCTTCTCAAGTTTCTCCAACAAAACCTTTTGTTCTTGGATTTGTCGTTGTATGAGCTGTTCTTTCGATTTTTGGAGCTCGAGCATGGTCTGCAAGCGAGCTTGCTGCTGCTTCTGTTTGACTTCCTTTAACTTTGCAAATTCCGCGGCTTTGGCAGCAATCACTTCTGGGCTAGGTTCATATGTTTTTGGTGTCAGAGGCTTAGTGGGAGGAGGCGTCACGGCATCCTGTTCCTTGGTTTCAGCCTTTTGCCAGTAGACTTTAACAAACCGATTATTGAAGATGACCTCCGGTGAGCTATATGCTGCATCTGCTTCCTGATGACTACTGAATGAAATGACAGCTTTGGAGGCTTCAGGTTGAAGTGAAATATTGGTGATGGTGCCAAATTGCTTAAAGTACTCATTAACCTTGTCAATAACACAGTTTTCGGTGGGTATGTTCTCAACAATGATAGTCGAATTGTGTCGGTTTTGATGAGATCGTCCACCACTCGCTGCAAAACCACCGCGTCCACGTCCTCTGGTGCCTCGACCGCCTCTACCACCTCCACGTTGACCTGCATATGGTGGCATACCATCCATTGGCGGCATGTTCATATCTGGACTTGGGCCGGGCATTCCTGAGTTCTCAGGATCATATGATTCACCGGACGATGGACCAGCTATAAATTGTGATTGACGGTTAATAATTTGCTAGATTGGAAGGGAAGTTTATGAGAGAGAACTTACCAAAGTTATTAGGAGCAGGGTAAAACTGTGGACGTCCAATGTTGGGAGGTATGGGACCGGGGGCATTGCCCGGGAATGGGGTCTTAAGCGCGCGATCATTAACAATGATTCGATCAGTGCCATGATCATATGGACAGAGGTCTCCTCGCATACAGTAACCCCGTTCTGTGGAAACAATGAAAAAAAAAAAAACGGTGGCATTAATAAAACAGAATAAACACAACGTTTGTGAGAAGCAAAGACTCATACCATTATAATCGCGACACAGCGGTCTCACACGACCACCGCGCCCTCTAGCTCCTCCACGACCTCTACCACGGCCGTCTTGGGGCATACCGTTGTTCATGCGTCCAACACCCTGACTATCCCGCATGTATTTGTTGATTTGATTGCTCTCGCTTTCATCATGTCGACGCTTGTCGCCAGGTCGGTACTCATCATCTCTGGGCTCGGAGCGCTGTCTTCTGTGCTTGAAATTGCGGTCATCGTCGTCTTCGTCCTCAGAACTCTCATGATGTCGAGATCGGCGCGAATCGGAATGTCCTTGATCTGAATCTCTGGGTACTGGAGCTTGAGATCCGTTATCGGTCACGGCAGCAGTTGAACCAGCAGTTCCTTCCATAAAACGGCCGCTTTCGAGAACATTAAATAGCTTTGTGACAAACGATAAAGTTTCTGTAATTCGGTGGAAATCCCGTGTCAGAACTTACAGTTTTGGCGATCAGCTTTTCACAGTATATTGAACAAAATACTTACGATCTTTTAAAAAGTCTTCTAACTGTTCGGTAACTGAATCCTTAAGCTCGCTGGTAGGTTTGTTATTCTTGAGGAGAGCGAGAACATACTGCGCTAACACATCGGGATCGGCATCGCAACTGTAAACGAATGAGATAACATAAGCACAATCTTCCAAAGATATATATAAATTCGTGTGTTGATAATTACATTGGCGCCAGCTCTTGTGTTAAAAACTTCTTCAGATCTTCTGAACGTGCTTCAGCGAACAGCATAGTTATGTAAAAATGGCCTGAATGGAGTGCAAGTGACACTGCGGTAGCGTATGTTTTTTCCAAAAGCTTCAGACAAAACGGTACACGTGATCTGATACTTTAATTTTTTATTGTTTATTTGTAACACTGAAATTGGGTTACGTCACGAAATTTCAGTCCTCGCCCATGTGCGGGCCTGATATACCGTTTGCACTGGGACGATCGATACTTCCTTCTTTTTTTCTTCGCTCATGTCTGCTGCACGAGTTAGTATCAGTAACACTTCTTGATCGAGCATTCACATGCAAGGGAACATGGATGGATAATAGGATTTGTTGATGCTCGAATACGTCAATCCGGCTATGCAGAAAAAGTCATTGAAATGACTCCATATCTTTAACGCAATGCATCCATCAAATATACATCCATCAATCCAAGTGGACACCCAACACTATGATATTCCATCAACGGATTACGCATCTACAGATGAATAGGACAGGATAATCCATCAGCGATGATACTACCAACCACTTGCGTTACTCTCAACATTTTCCCAAAAAGTGAACATTCAACAGCATTAACAAATCCACATTATCAATTCCATTACCCAACCATGTTGAACTTACCGTTTATGAACTAGTACTGATGTTTTTTTCTTTTGTTGCTTTCGTTAACAGTTGAACGAATATCAGGTATGTACTTCGACGAAAACTTGCACTGAATGCAGCACTGTTCAATTAGCACCAATATTTATTTCTATGTTTCGTTTTCAAGGTTGTCGGCCGCAAGCTTCCTTCCGAGCAGGAGCCCGTCCCCAAGCTTTTCCGCATGAGACTCTTCGCTCCCAACGATGTCGTTGCCAAGTCCCGCTTCTGGTACTTCCTCAAGAAGCTTCGCAAGGTCAAGAAGGCTGCCGGTGAGATCGTCTCCGTCAACCAGGTACCTTGTCATTTTCTACATTTCGAAGCAAACAACTTACATCCGTCTTCAATCCAATTTTTCTAACTCGTCATTTTGAATTGCCAGATCTTCGAGAAGCGCCCTGAGCAGATCAAGAACTACGGTATCTGGCTCCGTTATGACTCTCGCTCTGGCACTCACAACATGTACAAGGAATACCGTGAGATGACCCGTTGCGAGGCTGTCGTTGCTTGCTGTAAGTTTTAAGAGGGTTTGGTCAATTTTGGTGGCCTGTATACCATTTTGCTAACTTGTTATCCTTATTTAGACCAAGATATGGCTGCCCGTCACCGTGCTCGCTTTAGATCCGTCCAGATCATCCGCGTTGCTGAGGTCTCCAACGCCGATGTTCGTCGTCCTTACATCAAGCAGCTTCTTACTCCCAAGCTTACTTTCCCTCTTCCTCACCGCGTCATCCGCGCTCAAAAGGGCAACCGCGCTTTGTTCTCTGCCAAGCGTCCCAGCACCTACTACTAAGCGTATTTGGTTCGTTGCGGCCACGGTAGGGTATGGTACTTGAATCATATCTTGAAAATGAAATAAAAAAAAAACTACCTTCTTTTCAAGTTATATATTGGGGTCGATTGTGTTAAGTGTAGTTAGGATTGTTATGGACTGTGCGTGAGTTGTTAAAAACGAGAATCCCATTGTTACAAAGTGTGTGACCAAGCAAGTATCAAATTTGATTAGCCAACCAGAGGGAAACCTTTTGACTCAGCACGTTCTGTCAACGTTTAAGAAAATGTCCGTAATGTTTCCTAAAGGCAATCTACGCAATGTCATAAACACTATTTTGAGGAGTCTAGGGGACCCTTATCAAATCGGCTATTTTGAAATAACGTTCTTAAGGTCTTCTACTCTTCAAAAGGAAATACAATACCTAACAATCTCCTTGGAAATAACAACAAAAAAAAATAATTATTGCGAAATTTTCCTATCTCATAGGCCCTCTTTGACAACTTGCTTGCTCCGTCTAATTCTAACCCATGTGCTGGATTATCGCGGAACCATGCATGCTTTATCGATGTGTTCTCCCGGAGGTGAAACCGCGTTTGGCAATCTTGCTTTCCATTTTGGATACCTGAGCTCCATATCAGATCTCAACAGATGTCACTCTGTGAGCTACAGTGGAAAGTCACGATCGTCGGTAATCGTCAGCAAGGTTGGTAGACAGCATACTAGCAATCATTTACCGCACAAAATTCGATTCCCGTTAAAGGTTCAAGAGTTCGCCGGTGGATGATAATGGCCCCGATGCTAAGAGTACAAAGCTAGCCAATCGCAGAATTCTCGGGAAATTTCTTGACAAATTTTATTCGGACCTCTTGCGCAACCTTGGTCCCTTGCCTGCCGTTGAAATGATAAAATTGGGCGTGCTTAAATAAGAACAAAAAAAAAAGGCTTCGTTGAATACTTTACACCTTTCTTCCCTTCTCAGCAGCCATGCCAACCACCTCTGATCATCTCGTGAATCATCCTACAGCTACCAATCCTGCTGCATCCTACAATAATACCGTAACACGTCCTTCCAACCCTTCACCACAATATATGGACAACGTTTTGTCTAGGTTTGGTCACCACCTCTCTCCAAACCAAATTCGTTCCATGTCTTTCGTTATGACATCGGTGAAAAGCTCCAACAGTGGTGGTGTTGTTCCTATGCTATCCACCGGTGTTCCCTCAAATGAACGAGATACCTATCAATACTTCAACGGTCCACCGGCCATCAACGGAGCGATTATCAATATCGCTCGATAATTATAAAAAGCACAACCTTGCATTAGAGATTCATAACATATATGCTTCATTCAGTATCCTGCCATCACAATTAGATAACCTCTCTTATTTTGTTTTTTTACTACATACCCAGCCTATTGCGATTTCATTTACACTTTGCATATTAATCCAACATTATATACTTTTCCACTTGCCCAGAAAATTTTTTTATTATACCGGTGCTGAGTATAATTGGTTGTAAGACAGCGATGGTTACTTATCTTTCCCGAAATGGTCATTAGCAATCGTACAATGACGACCATGGAACGTTCATTTTGTGATAGATAAAGCGGTTATCACACCTTGGTGGCACTAGTTTCAAAGGGATACAGGGACCCCAACGATATCAATATCACTGAGATCCTCATTTTACCTTGAACCATGCGTTAATTTTCTATATCTGAGCAATGCCCTCAACACCTGCCACACATTATGGAAGAACATAGAAATTGGTATTCGAAATTGATACCTCCACCTTAGTGTATTGTATTTTCTCTCATGATATTTATTTGAGTTTGTCTTTTGACCGTGCGCCCATTTTATAGCCCACCATCAGCAGCGGGTTACACTGAATTCCACGGGGTTTGTATCTGTCAATGTGGAAATGAGGCTGCCTTCAGTTTGTATCATATAACAAAATAGAGAACTCTGGATTGCTGGAAAGATCAATTTGCAACATGTAGTAGAACCGTTTTGTAGTTGGTCTCCAGTTTATTTTGTAAGATAAGTGTCTTGCAGAAGTGAAGGTAGCTTGTCATAAAATAATTACCCATGGCATCACCCTTTCTACGAATGAATAGCATTTATCCACTGACCACATATCTACACTGGACAATGTACTATCTCACTACTTAATGTATACAGCTTACCATTCACACATTCGTTACTAAGAGGCTTTACCCTCACAATAAAGTCCTCTACAACAAATCTGGCGATATGGCCGTTTTTTCTTTTGGCATAAAAAAACTTGTTATAAGTACATTTTTTTAGACGTAATGTGGGGTTTTACTTCGGCTCAGGCGACAGACAGTGGACAAAAGTAGAAACGGTCTTTGTAGCAGCCCAAGTCAAGACCACAAATGATCAAAAAAATGGCCCACTGAAAATCCCGCCAAACATGTGACCTGTAATGCTGTTACGCTTTCAGCGCTGTCTTCCAAAACTTCCGTCATTCATTGTCACCTTTCAAAATGTCGAAACCAATTGTATCGCGTATATCCTCCAGATCCTTGCAGTATTCAGGCACACTTCGGTGGCGTAGCACTAGATTTATCTCGTCGTCAAGCCGTCGATTGCTCCCACGATTTCTCACGCCAAGAGAAGAACAAGACTTATACCAATCCATTACCTCGTCATTTCGAGAAAAACTTGCATCGAACACGGCCAAATCTCAAGATTTTTACTCAAGCATCATAGAGCAATCATTATTTGCTGTTCCTAGATCCAATCCTCCGTCTTCTTCCAAAGTTCAAGATATCTGCAGTCATATAGATGCTGCTGTTGCTGCTAAAAAACCTCAAGAATTGAAACCTCTTATATCCGAGCTTGATCGTTCCAATGCCCCTATCAAGTACTACAACTATTTAATGAGAGCTTATATACGGCTCAAGGATCTTAAGGGAGCAGAGTATGTCCTCAAAAACCTACCCATCGGCTTGCTTCCAAGTGCGCGTACATTCACCTTGCTTATCCAAGAATATCTGTCAACGGATCTGGACCGAGCTTACGAGTATATGAAGCAAATGCAAGATATGAGCTGCAAGCTTCACAAGTCTTTTGATTATATTGTTGTCATGCGTCTTCATATTCGAAGAGATGATCCACTGGCGGTCGATTTTGCTTGGAAGGACATGTTGCAACACAAGGAAACCGTAAAGCCGACTATGCAGCTATATACGACTTATCTAGGTTATCTTGGGTCAAAAAAGAAGTATGAGAAAGCAAGTGAAGTTATTCAAGATCTAGTGGCGTATAGCCGAACGAACGATGGTCTTCAAAAGACTCTCAGTGCACTACAGTGCAAAACATTGATTTCGATTACCAATCAGCTTGCTCTCCATGATCAACCTCAGTCGGCATCCAAACTCGTGAAATTTCTGTTATCCAGTACGCTCACTTCAACCACGTCCAACACAGGATTACCGGAAGGATTAATGCCAAATGCAATCACATTGCCCTCTGAAGTATATACCAACATCATCAATGGATACATGAACCTCAAAAAATACTCTCCTGTCATAGACTTTTACAAAGAGATGACTGCAAGGAACGATGTCCAATTGGAGGAAGAGGCATTGCTTACCGTCGAAGAGGCTCGCAAGTGCCTTATGAGTAGGCAGTCAAAACAACATCAACATCATGGGAAAATGTACATAGCTAATCTGGCCCCAGTGTAAATGAAAACAATAAAGATCACGTTGATGATACATGTATTTGAAAGCCAATTGCAAGCGAACTCGCCAAGCGAATATGCCAAGCAGGGCTTCTGGTAGCGGTTAAAAAGAAAATTCATACGACGATTTTCTGTTGAGAACAGGTTTATTCCCAGACGATGGATTTGACATATTCGAATTTCCCAGTATGGTCCAGCGTTGGAATCTTACTTACAGCCAAACTGAGTTCATGCGCAGTTAGCAAATTGTGGCTCATTCTGCTGAACAAGGATCACGCACTCTTGTGACATGATGAAGATAGTACTGAGCCTTCGGTATTGAAAAGTATAAAATGAAGAGGAAATACTCATTTGATAGATACATTTTTTTGAAAAAAAATATGGGGTGTGTACACTACGCAAATGAATCGGTTCATACGAGCAGAAATTAACAATGTCTATTTCATTCAGTCAATCGCATTCTAAACGTCAAAAAAAGAATTGTCATCAACCTTCAAACGTCATATTGAATGCAAGCGCTGCCTCTCAGCAGCAGGGACACCATGGTATGTTTTAAAAATATGCACAATCCGATCATCCAAAGCTCAAACTCACCTTATATATTAGGTCACCATAGTGGAGGCCATCATCACGGTAACCATGGTGGAGGCCATCACCACGGTGGCTTCTCCGGTGGCCACGGTGGACATGACGGAGGGGCGTCTGCAAGTGCTGCAGGCTGCGGAGGCGGTGGCGGCTGCTAGTGTTAGTCAAGTAACAAAGCCTAAACTTTTAAGCATAACTATTCCAAAAGCATATTTACATAAGGCTGCTTAGGTGGCTGATTCATGAATCTTTGCTCATTAAAATTAAGTGATTTCCAACCAGCTTTAATTATTTTTGTATATTTGCCATAGAGTCAATATTCTACAATGCTTTCATAAAACTCAGTTCCCCGAGTTTCGTAAATTTGTGGAAAAACCAGGCCCAGAAAATGAGAATGAGGTAGGAATTGTACAACAGACCTCTTGCGCGCTCTAGCTAGATGAACTATGCTGAAATAAGAGCTAAACAAAGAGGGAGTAAATTCTTGAAATCAAAGTTGGAGGGAGGAAGTTGAGCTGCAGAGAAGTGTTCAACGCCTGCAGCATGATGCTCTCACCACAGTTCAATTCAAGATCGCTTCCAGCTATACGAGTACGCTACAAAATTAGAAATTATGCCATGAAAATGCATGATGAGCATTAGGCTATGGTACGTGTCCCTTGAGGCATAGGCTCGAGGGATAATCTATCAGTGAAGATGCCGCTCAAGCACTGGGCAAACAATTTATTGCCGACATCTCGGCCTGGATAGACCATTTGCAACTGCAATTCCAAAGATTTTGGATAACAGTCAAGGTCAAACTCCTCCGATATACGGGACATTGAAGGGGTTTGACAACAGGTCTTACTGGTCAAAATGTCTACGTAACAGACAAGCCAGAACCATTTCCGTTGAAGCCCACAGCACCAGGTAGGAAAATTTTCTAAATCAGCTAATCCTTCCGGTCACAGATAAAAAGCAGGTTTGGAATTAGCGAGACACCGTATCCAGGTACAGTGCAAAAGATTCAGTTTATACTGTTTCTAGCGTCAAAAAACGACCCGGACAATGGAGACCACAAACCTGTTCATTGCCTTGTGGTATAAAAACGGCTCAATACGAATAGCTCACCTACCACGGTGAATCTCCAACTACAAAGCTTATTCGCAATGACTGAAGTTGGAGAACAAGCAAAAACACTTGGCGAAGACATTTAAGGTTAAAGACCATATACCACGATGCCTGCTGAATTTAATCTGAAACTATAATGTAAGTCGGTGGTAGACACGTACATAGCTGGTATAGAATACAATAGAGTTACAAGTAAAGAATACAGATGAATAGAATTAAATATAAATATAGGAGGAGTAGTCTGGAGTGTATCTACAGTTTGCTTTTCTTTGTAGCATCGAAAAACTCTTCAAGCAAGGCATTGTAGCGATCAGATTGCTCTTCCGGGAGGGCGTGGCCGCTGCCTTCAAAAATTTCGAGTCTGGCATCTAACATTTCTTGAAGATGATGCGAATGGGCAGGGTTGATGAAATTATCGATAGTGCCAGTCACCACCATCGTAGGCACATTTCTCTCCTTGATACTCTTCAATCTTCGGTCCGACACAGAATGACGAAGACATGCCGCTGTCTGACCAATATTACCACGTAGGGGCTGAAGGCGGGACTTTGTCGCATGCTTGATGAAACTCTGGTTCACGTGGTTGCTTGGACATTCAGTATTGACGCACTCAAACACATGGACCCCATAACTCCGTTTTGCACCCCCAGACTTACATGTGTAGCATATTCTCGGTTGGTTTTGTATTTCGATAACTTGGGGTTTGTGGGGGAGCTCGCCAACCACTCAGGCGGATACAATAGATCGATGATGATGTTCACCTTATCTCTTGGGTCGGGTGTAAAGAGAGCGATTCTCGTAAGGGCATTAACCAGTTTCCACTAACAAATAAGAAAACATGTCAATTACTATTGTCGTTCACTTTGCAGTGCCCGTGCTGCACTCGATGCACTTACAGTTGGGACATTTCGTCGGGCTGTTGTACTTGTCAGCGTCAATGAGGCTATTCTTTCAGGAATCCGGTCCGTAAGTTCCAGAGATATCATTCCGCCCATGGAGATACCAACCACATTAATACTCTCCTTCCATCCCAAGTGGTCTAGCAGTTCGATAGCATCATCAGCCATTTGAGAAGTGCTTTGGGGTTACAGCTTGGTATTAGCACGTGAAACCGATCGAACATACAATGACTAATTACTTACGAGTAAAGTCCCCAAGGTGAATCTATTTGGTTATGATGATACATGAGAAAAAGAACGAGGCGTTCCATAAAACCCACATGATGAGAAACTTACCACTGAAGCCTACACCTCTGTTATCAAAGACAAGTACAGTATATTTGCCAGTAGAGGCGAGGTATTCCGTCTGTCGAGCATGAGTTTATATCGAATTCGAATATTGCTCGGAGAACATGCTAAGTACTTACCTGGTTTGACCATCCTTGTATCGACGTACTCAAACCTAAGACACAGGCAAAAAATACTACATTTGTATCAAAGCTCTTGGCTCAGGATAGAATGTAAGTCACTTACCCATGATAAGGCAAACCTTCTCCGGGCCATTTCCATGTATTTCATAGTAGATTGAGGCAGGAGCGGTGCGGCTGGTGCCGACAACAAAGTGACCTTTTTGAGTCATGGATATAGAAGCAAAAGTGAAAGAAGTTGAGTCTGAGTTTTTGGCCAAGTCGAAAGACATATTTTGCGACACCTGTCGGTCTTTCAAAATGTGACATTGAAATAATTGGGAGCAAAACGTTGAATTTTGGCCGCCCTGAATATTCATCCAGATTCACACGCTTGTACCTGCACCTTGTCATTGAAGTATGGAACCTCAATTGCCAGTAGATCCCAAATGCCTTTGGAAACCTTCCAACGTGGAAGATACCTCCATGGACAGGTTTAGGGCCCATGTCAACCAAAAGTTTAACCTTTCTCTCGGTAAGTGCGCCATGTGCTTCACTTGTCAAAAATATTGCGGGGTACTTACACTCGACCGCTAGCCAACTACGACGATCTCTATGAATGGTCTGTCAACTCAATTGAAGACTTCTGGTCTACTACTTGGGATTTTACAAGCATGTTGAGTTCGACCAAGGCATCACAAGTTCTCGATACCACAGTTCCAATGGATGCTATCCCAGAGTGGTTCAAAGGTGCAAGGCTCAACTGGGCTGAAAACTCCTTGTGGTGTCGGAGCTCTGAAAAGGTCGCTATGATTGCTACAGGTGAGTAAATGCACGATTGACGCGGGAACCTTGTTGGCACCTTCTAACAATGTGTTATATCATTGTTTTAGGCGAAGGACACCCACGAACTGAAATCACTTACGCTGATCTATACAGTGAAGTGTTAAAATGTGCTGAGGCTATGCGCGCAATGGGTATTGTAGCTGGCGATCGTATTGCCGCTTACATCCCGAATTGTCCTGAAGCTATCATTGCCATGCTAGCTGCAAGTAGCATCGGTGCCGTTTGGAGGTATGTTCCGTGGTGACAATATTAACTTTGTAGTGGGAATACGATTTGACATTCGTGCTGATACTTCCTGGAAGTTCCACCTCCCCCGATTTCGGTACTACAGGCGTACTGGATAGATTCAGTCAAATTGAGCCCCGTATACTGATCTCTGTCAATGCCGTCGTCTATAATGGCAAAGTCCTGGATCATACATCTAAGGTCAATGCAGTGGCACATGGTTGGTGGATTATTTTCAGATGTCAGATAACGAATTCCCCATGTTGCTAACATTATGTTTTCAACTAGAATTACCTTCACTTGAAAAGGTTATTATGATTCCCTTTGTGAGCGGTCATGCCGGTCAGGAAGTTCCTAACAGCTGCGCATGGAATGAATTTTTGGAAACTTGCAAAGATCTACCAGATGCCATTCGTTTTGAACAACTGCCTTTCAACCACCCGGCCTTCATTATGTTCAGCTCTGGCACAACTGGTCTACCCAAATGCATTGTTCATTCCGCAGGAGGGTTATTACTGCAGCTGAAAAAGGAGCACGTCATTCATGGTGGTCTTACTCCGGATGATATTCTGTTTTATTATACTACAACAGGATGGATGATGTGGAACTGGCTGGTATCAGCACTGTCTGTTGGATGCACCATTGTGCTATGGGACGGTAGTCCTTTTAAGCCTAGTCCTGGTGCCCTATGGGAACTAGTTGATGAACTGAAAATCACTCATTTTGGAACTTCAGCCAAGTACATTCAGTCAGTTATGGAAGTTGGTTACAAGCCAAAGGAGTCTTGCAATCTGGGAACATTGAAGGCCATTTATTCCACTGGATCACCCCTCAAGCCAGAAAGTTATGACTTTGTTTACCGTGACATTAAGGAAGATGTCTTGCTAGGAAGTATTACTGGTGGTACTGATATTTGCTCTCTTTTTGCTGGACACAACGTTGCGCTTCCCGTTTACCGAGGAGAGATCCAATGCAGATGCCTTGGAATGAAAATTGAAGCCTGGGATGGCCAAGGTAATGGAAATATGGACAGCTGACCTTGTTATCTTTGCACTTGCTAAACAACTATCTGAACTCGATAGACAAACCGGTTATGGGCCAGAGCGCGGATCTTGTATGCACAGCTCCTTTCCCTTGCATGCCTGTCTATATGTACAAGGATGATGAACGCCGTTCCAAGTATATGAACGCCTACTTCTCGGTGTATCAGCACGTTTGGTATCACGGCGACTTTGTTTGGATTAACCCCAAGACCAAAGGTGTTATCATGCTTGGGAGATCTGATGGTACACTTAACCCTAACGGTGTTCGATTCGGTAGCGCAGAAATCTATAATGTTGTGGACGAATTTCTGACTAGAGGCATAGCAGATTCTCTTTGTGTTGGACAGAAGATCAAAGGAGAGGATGACGAACGAGTTGTTCTATTCCTCAAGATGAAAGACGGAATCCAGCTGACTGAGGCATTGGTGAAGGAGATCAAGATCAAGGTTCGGTCAGAACTTAGCCCAAGGCACGTACCGGCCTTTGTTTTGTCAATCGTAGATATACCGGTATGTAACCGTAGTGAAACGTAGGACACAACTGGATTTATTTTGCTAAGTCCCGATTTGCTTTTCAGTACACTATCAACGGTAAGAAGGTTGAAGTCGCCGTAAAGGTATGTTTTCTCACCATCGTCACATTGCCACCCAAGCCTTGCAAGCTAATCCAGATTGACTTTTTTTTTTTTTTTTCTCAAACAGAAAATTATATCTGGACAAAATGTCCTGCCATCAGGAACACTGGTAAACCCAGAGAGTTTAGAACTATACAAAGACATTCCGGAACTCCGGCAATGACAGGAAAATTTTTGGAATTTTGCATAACCGATAGGAAACAGAATCGTTGTTGATTTACAGTATCGTAGATGTCTTAGAGTAAAGCGTGTGTGTTTTTTCTTCGTTGTCTTTAGGACACGGTTATTTGAGATTGATTGATGAATTAGGGTTAAGCTGTGTGCTAGTATACATTGACGTAGCTTTACAAAGATGTTACATGGATTCCTCTTACTGCGGAGGAGGTTCATTGTGTTCACTTCTAGTAGCAGCACTCTATGATCAAAACAAAACAGTAAATAAACTGGAAGGTGGAATGACCACTTACTGATTAGCTTTAGCACTTCCAAAACTACTTACCTTCTACAGCACAGCAACAGCAGCACATAGCCAATCTGGATAATCAAATGAGAATATAAGTAACAGTACGTTGCAGCAATCCTGATCATATGTCAATACTTACAAAGCTAAACAGCAAGAGTCATGACCTCCGTGTCCGGGATAGTAGGGTCGACCATAAGGTTGCCCATATACTAATGGTTGTGCTATAGGACCTGATCGGTTCCGGACGTAGTAACACATACGTTAAGTGAACTTCTTTACTACAACTAAAGGTACGATGTGACAAAAAATGAATTTACCTGGCTGTCCGTACGCCATCGGACTTTGTGGATAATAGGGCGATGGGCTGACAAGGTAGGGACTTGGTCGTGGAGGATAGGCAGCACCTGCCATCACTGGGTATGCTCCATATGCTGCCATGAGATAGTTCAAATCCAAGTGGAAGAGAAAAAGTTAAAAGAAAAAAAAAAGAAAAACAGGGAGGAGAAAATGCTCAGTTGGAAAATATAAAAGTTTTTAGCGGGCGTAAAGAGTGTGTTGAGCGGTCCTCTTTCCGGCATCCCGAGCGATTGACCACCATTTTAGCCATTTAGCTTCAACGTCACCTGCTCAGCACTTTTTCTATGAGCCAGACTCAATTTAAGTAATATATTACGTTAATGAGAGAAAAAATAAGTAAGGTATGCTGCGTAGTGCATTATGATACATCCCAAAGTAGTGTTCCTTTCTGGCGGTTTTAATATGCCATGATGCGAGGGCGTTATGGAAAGTCCTAAAGAAAATCTCCTAATTCGCATGCGACACTCATTTACGTGGGCCCTCCAATTTCCTCCTAATCGTCTCATATGCTGTATTCGCTATTTCAAATGTTTTTTCTAGCTTCGTTTGACCAGTAAATGAAAGTTTGCGATTTCTTATAGCATACTGATTTCTTTACCTTACAGTAAAGGTGCAAGATTATTCGGTTATGTACGTAAAATTGGATTGCTGATCCAGCAGAGGGGTCTTTACCAAAAAGCAAATATCGACTAAGTACATCTGCTTAGTCGTTTCAACCTTTGCTTCACAATGACACTCCGTTGAAAAATTCATTTTACAAACACAGCGGCATGAAGACTGTAACACAAATCTTGCTCTCGAAACAAATGAATTCTGCAAGCTGATATGCAAGGCGACCACCCTTGGTAGCATTTATTTAAAATTTCGAAGTGCATCATTAAACTTGGCTTCATCACGCGACATGCTGGTTCTCCACACTTACAGTCATACTCACATTTTTTCAGCTTATACGGCAAATGTTGTTGAAAGTATGAAACGCTTTTTATGGATTCTAGTAATTTTTAAACTGAGGCTGACAAGCTAACAGGATAAAAATCGTAATTACTCATAAATGCCACGGGTAAATCATTCAGCGTCATATTGTAAGGTCCAATACTGAAAATTTGGGATGAGCCTGTAATAGTCTACAAATTTCTAAAAGGTAAAATGTAATTTACATTGTGTTCAATAGATCCTAGTCTACCAGATGGAATAGTATCGTCCGTCAGAATTTTTAGTTTGAACATGGATTTACCGCTTTTTCGTTTCGTCAAGTGTTGGTTCAGCAAGAAAGTTTTCTTTATCCATTTGAAAGCAAACATTCATCTCTATTAATTATTGATGTTAGAGCTAAATCATGTCTTTCTATTGATAATTTGTAGCGAAGGTGCCTGTCCAACCTGATTTTCAGTGCAGTCATTCTAAAGTTAAAAGCTGGCACATGCCATAAATTGCGCTGGAAAAGCATTTCAAGCTGATATTTTGTGTTCTTACTCGCTGTTCAGGGCTCGAAAAAACGTTCCGTGAGATGAATATAGTCAAGTGCGGTCAATTATAGGACATACATTCCGAAATCTCATCATGGATATTTCACAGCGACCCATCCAACAAACTTTCTGCTTTGTCAAGAAAATTCTGGGTATTGTGATTCACTTTTAATCTTCTTGTAGAATAGCCATAATACCATGAAAGTACAATTATGAAAAGTGTTATTATCTCTCAAACGAGTTGAGCAAAAAATTATGATGGATTGGTGATTTGGATAGCCAAAGGATCCGTCATGCTTTGCTATTTGTACTAAATTACACTAACAACTGATGTCAATTTGCCAAATTTACTTCTTTTATCAGAGTAATTTAAGTGGGAAATAAAACCCCATAAGCGTTAAGATACAGAGAGAAGACAATACAACAATATTAACAGCTGAGGTTCAAGTACAGAAAATCAGAACAAGAGGTTTTTGAAAAGGACATCTACCATATACACCAATCATTTTTTTTAACACAAACATTAAAGGCTAGGCTTGTCGATTTAAAATCCGGTAAAGACAGCAGAGCCAGAGCATGGCTTAGTGGCCAAAATAGCGTCGTCCAACTGATCTTCAGATAACTCTGGGAAATGCTTCTTGTAATACTTCTCCTTGATAGTAGCAATAAATTCTGAGACTTGATCTTCACGCACCAAACTAACAGTGCAGCCACCCCAACCAGCACCGGTTAGTCGAGATCCTTCAGCACCAGTTTCGCGAGCAAGAGCAGTGAGCTCATCAAGTTCAGGGCATGAGCAGTTGAAGAGCTTGGAGCATGATTCTTGAGATTGGTTCATGAGACCACCAAGTTGTTTGTAAACTTGGTTAGAGTCGGTTGGTGGGTTTGCGCAGACATTTCCAAATTGGATTACTCGCAAAGCCTCACCAAAAACATGAATGGCTCGTTGATGAAGACGGAAGACGTCGGTTTCGACAGGGAAGCGAGTCATATATTCCTTGACTAGCTCATCCTCTGCAACACCAGATAGCTCAGCCATTTCTGATCGAGTGTAGCCAGTTGTGTTGGTGAATACTTGATCGGCAACCGACAGCATTTTCTTCAGTTGCTCGTCTTGTGACACATCTTGGCCAGAGAAGTAAGAGTCGCAAACTTCCTTATAAGTGTCGACAGGCTTGGCCAACTTTAGAGCTCTGGATAGACATAACGCGCCAACCTTGGTCTCAACTACACGGAGGTTATAATTTCTAGGCCCGGTCACAAATTTATCGGCCGTCACCAAAGTATTTGCAATGACGAAAGCTAACTTGGGCTGAGTTTCAGGTAGTTTGACGGGGACAGCCTTCAATTTGGGGACAAACTCAACATGAAGAGCAAAGCCTTGCTCAGATAAGACACTGGCAGACTGATCCATACCACCACTGTTTACGCCTACATTACGCTCAGCAACAATAGCGATTTCAGTAAGCTCCTGCTTGGTCATCTTGAGCTCGTTGGCGGTGATCACAGTCAGTGCTGACGTGCAGCAGAAAGCAGCCGAAGAAGACAGACCTGAACCGGCTGGGACATTGCCATCTACCAGGACAAACATACCCTTGGGTTTTTTTAATTGAGCACGCTCGAGCATACCCTGTGGAACAAAGACCGTGATCAGATGATGTTTTCAGCTTTCCCCACATTCTGTTTGTCCACCTCGTTAAAGTTTCCTACCTTGTAGCCACACTTGAAATAGTTGGACCATTCCAAGCTAGAGGAATCAATGGTGACAATCTTTTCTACACCTTCATAGTCGAACTCGCGGGAAGGGTACTTGGAGTTGACGTTGGCGACGCGAACTTTGGTATCGTCGTTGGTGGTAGCGACGGCCATAACAACATCACGGTCAACAGCCATAGGCAACACTCCGAACCCGCAATAATCGATATGTTCACCAATCAAGTTAACACGTCCTGGAGATCTGGCAATGAAGTCTGGCTTGCGATGATAAGTCTGCTCGAACTTGTCTAACAGAGCTTGGTAACGAGCACTGAGCAGGTAGTGAGTAAAACATGGAGCCAGAAAGCTGTCCATCTTTATTTCCACTTACCCTTGTTTAGCGACGAAGGATTTATCGTATATGGCATCCAAAGAATCGTAGGTAGGGATGTATGACATACTTTTAGTGAGGAAAGGGTTAAAAGCTAACTTCTGTTTGCGGTTGCTCATGGTCCTTATAAGAAATCAACACGGAAGAATAAAATTTTGAATCTCCACCAGCCAGGCTAGTTCCTCGGATCAAAATACCCCAGTTAAACATCGAGTGCTTTACAGAACTGAAACGAATGGCCAAAAAAAAGTAACAGTAAATAACTTCTATCTTCCATGTGTACAGATCTGGTTATTTTTATGTGTCTCTATTGAAAAAGTAGACCAGGTAATGAGGATATCTCCAGAATACTATGACCTGATTACGCAATCAACGGTGGTGCGGAACATAAAAAACTGCTCTGGTGTTGTTTGAGACGACGGTAAAATGAGCGGACAGCTGTTACGAACGACACCTGTTGTTTGGGTCACTTCTTTGTTCTCCGATGATGTCCACGGCTTATGTCATATCCTTCCTCGGGAGCTACTGTCGTACCTGGAATATGCCCTTACCCTCGCATGGCACCTAACCCTTTGGGTTGCTGTTTCCCCAGGTTGTAATGTGGGGAAAGTTTGGAACGAACCCCATACGATTTCATTTAAAGGCATCTGGAAGTAGTACGACCTTGTGAAAAAGACGGTTCCCAGCACACTTGCTGAAAATGATCACGTTATAGTGTATACCTCTCTGATATAGAAAGAATCTATCCATTTGCCAGCGCACAAGGGTCCAATTTTTTTTTCTCTTCTTTTTCTCACCAAAGCCCGCCGCCTTTTTTTCTCATACGTTTCGCTTTCTCTCCATGACTACACATCGTTACCCTCCACCGCCTTTACCACCACCACCGCCTCCAGCCAATCGTCAATATCATGTACATTACTCAGCTCCAACGCCATCTTCGCAGTCAAATTACTACTCATCGAGCCATAATTACATGGTATCTCAAGGTAAATAATCTCGTCATTACGTTTTGCTGTATTGAGCTCAATGTTGCTAACACTGACAGCAACACGTTGTCATCTTGTCACAGATCGCAGGCGATCGTCATCTGCCCGGGAAGGTTTGCACAGCCCCATAAGAGAACACAGTAAGCAAGAAGCTTTTTTCGATACAGTTTGTAAGGTTCCGGGGAATGTTTTGTATTTATCATAGCTATTGCGGACGATCTTCTTAGAACCTACTTTTGAACCATACCCGCAACATCGACGGAGGTCCCCATCACCTGAGCCAACCAATTCTGCTTCGCCACCGTCTTCAGACGCTCATTCGCCTGATATGAATGGTCATCGACCTAACGATCAGAAGAAGGCGGTACAGACTGCGAAACGAGCGGCTCAAAACAGAGCGGCACAAAGAGCTTTTCGACAAAGGCGAGAACGTTATGTCAAGGATTTAGAAATTAGGGTCAAAGAGATGGATGCTATGCAAGAAGAAATGAGTAAACTGGCCGAACAAAATATGAGCTACAGGAAGCAAGTCGAGAATTTGACTAGGGAACTCAAGCAATTGAAAGAAACGGGTGGTCAATCATTCACACCTTATGCAAATAAGCATATGATGACTCCCAAATCACCACCACCACCGCCACCTCCACCACCGCAATCAATTTCCTCATCGCCCCCACTACATAATCATCGATTCAAACCTGTTCCTAAGGATACCAATGGTAAACAGAGGAATGGAGGCTCTTTTGAAGCGGAAATGGCTCGACGTTTGAGTCATTCAGACAAATCTCTCAACCAGGATTCTTCACCTTATTCTGAGTCCTTGTATTCTCTTCAACAGCGGAGAGGTCTGCATTCACCTCGTAAGCAAGTTTCTGCAGCCGTGCCAAGTCGAAACAGCGATTACCAATTGCCAGCTCCGGCTACCTCTAACCCAGATCACCACCACAACAACGTTAACACTTTCCACCATCAAAGCAATGGCCATAGTATACACGAAACTATGGATCGCCGAAAAACTCTGACTTCACAGACCACCCCTCCTGGACCACAGGTCAAACCCATGTCCGAAAACGGCACTTACATGCCGCCTACTTCAACTTCCATGATGGATCACTCATATTCAATGCCACCAAGATCAGATGTCGGCATATTACCTTCACCTGTATATGGCAACGAACAACAGCGATTCATCCATCAGTTTGGAGAATTAGACAATACCAACCCTGAGTTGGTAGGCATGATAGACATGCCTCCATTACCCATGGGAGATGGAGAGTTTGAGATGGAGGATCCTTTCGCAGCTGAAGATGGTGCGGACGATCTCGACTTTGCTCCTGAGGATTGTGATAGGATTTTGGATGATTTGGTGACCATTTTGCAGCAAAGAAATCGTCCTCAGATACCTCATAACTTGAATCCCACCGAAGCATGAAAACAATTTATACCATCACCCCTCTCTTCCTTTTTCTCTCTCTGTATATAGCCATTTTTCGCGTTCCTTTTGGTTTTCTTTTTCCTCCATACATCATTCGATGAATGAATGTAACTTTACTACAAAAAAGTGAATTTGCAGTTTATAAATATGGTGAGGGTGATTTTCATTGACTAAACTATATTACATCAGATACGACTGAAAATACGTTGGTGGCGGAAAGGAAGCAAATGTATAAAGTGGCATGCGATACAAAATAATGAGGTGGAAACATACATGTACTGGCACAGTCATTGAAAGGGTAATAAATGAAATCGAAAACGTGGTATGGGCGAGCGGCTAGGTAGTTGACCTGCACTGCTTGCAAGTGGGGGATATATTGAAATTCTTGAAACGCCTAATGTTACAGGGTACAGTCTACTGAGGTAACATGTCCCATTGCAGGCTATCGTTCATCAATAACTGGACCATGGAGTCATCAGTGTCAGCGGCGGCATTGCTATCCACCATCATTGATTCCCTCATATCATCAGCTGCGTTAGCATTCAGTGGCGTGGCGATATTAAGCATAAGATTTAGGTCCGCGGATGGGCCAGGTGCCGATGTCCAGGTATGTGGGCGCCCGTGCTGGTTGTAACGCTGTGTTTCAGATTCCTGATCTGAAGTTACAGCACTGATTGTATGTCGGCGATGGTGGCCTAAGGAAACTGGACGTCCATATGGTGCAACTCGAGGTGTTGAATTGGTACGTGATGGGGCTGGAGACAAACCTCTTTGCGGAGATGCATTTTTATTGCGAGGGTTACTGCTGCTTGTACTGGGTGAAATATTACTCAGTTTGCTGATACCATCGCGCTTTGGCTTGTACGGGATAACATTGAATCCCGAAACAGCTTTTTGAACCCATGATCTCGGACGGCTAGGAATGAGCCGATTGGTAGACTGAGAACGATTGGGCACTGGGGCTGGGGGCAACATCGATGGCAGGACAGATGGCATCATCAAATCATCCTGAGACATGCCTATAGAATGTCCAAGTGGGCGTGCAAACTGTTGGTATCGATCGATGTAATTTGGAGGATTGATGTTGCGCATGGCTTCACCTTGTTGTTGATGCATAAGAGCTGCGTAATTCAGCGGGTCCGACATAACAGCACTGGAGTGCCTTAGCATTGAAGAGCTATTAGGGGACCGTTTGTTTGCTCTGGATGCCAATTGAGATATTTGTGAATGGAAAGATGCAGGTGAATTGGGTGTTTGATGACATTCAAGCTCGGCTAGCTCGGGAGACGTTAAATCGCTATGTGAACGTTGAAGCCTAGAAGGAGCTCGAAATGATACAGCTTCTGGGTGTGGTGTTTGTGGCTGCTGTTGAGGTCCCTGCATATCCATATTACTGACAGCCATTCTTCCATACATGTGGGCTAGTTCCGCATCTTTTATGGCATTCACAAAGCTTTGGGAAGGTGAAATTTTCGAAAGTGCCTTCAAAATGTTCATGGACGTCAGGTATTGTTGTTTTGCAATTTCATGATCGGGACCATCATAAGATTGCATTGCTTTGGACTGATGAACTGTTGCGGATGCGATGACAAAATGAATTGTATGTTGGACGCCTCGCGTTGGATAGAAAAACTCGTTTATGTCATCTTTGTCCAGAAGAATTTGTGCGATATTGGTTATGTGCGATGCCGATGAAGCACACAAGTCACGGTGAAGGTAAGGCGTAAACTCAGTTCCAATTTCTGGAAGTGGGCTCATCATGTACGGACGATGTAATAGAATAATTGAAAAATGATATTGCATATGCAAAAATCCTACAAATGAGTCGCTTATCTGATGTTTATCAGCTGGATAACTGTATGGGTCCGTAGTTGGGGTGTATGCGAGGGTTGCGGGCAGCTCATGTAAAAAGTTTTCCAAGTGGGTGTGAAGAACGAATAGCTTTCCTTGCTCTTCTACCACTTCGAGCATGCTTCTAGGTCTCCCTTTTCTAAAAGCGATCAAACGTGCTAGACGATAGATCTCGCCCATTATTTTACTGAGTTGGATAAGGACATTGTGATTACTTATGATATCCTCCAGTTCTGGACCTTCCTCAGCAGTGGCATTTGGAAATTCTTGGTCGCATTCATTTGAAGTGAAATGTGGCTTTCGTCCTTGTTCAACGCTGTTTCCGCCCGAAATAAATGAGGGAATGAAGAGTATGAGAGAACTAATTCATGTTGATCCGCTTACTGTGCTAGAAATAAACATGAATTCCTCACCTCATCAAAAGATCGTACATATAGGCCACCCAAAAGGTCCGCTTCCGCATCTCAATTTCACCAGCGTCGCCCATGCATCTGCCTTGCGTGCGAGACAGGCCAATGTCGTCGCACATTCTTGTCACCATACCCATAAACATATAAGGCCGGAAGAAGTATCCGGATCGATGATGTTGTTCTTGATACTTTATCAACAAGAGAAGTGCTTGTATGGTGGAAATTCTAGGCACATCAAAGTGATCGTCAATCAAAGCGAACGCTTTTTGGTAAAATGTAACACCTGGTGGGCCAGCATTAGCGTCGCTAGCTTCATGCCACCTTGCTGCAACTGCACACATAGCATTCAGTAGAATCAGCGAAGGGGGATTATTCTTGTTTTGCATTTGCTTCAGAAAATTCGGCTTGTGGATAATTGGAACATACTTGTGGACATATTTGAAATATGTTTCGATCAAGGCTGGCATGTTACTAGAAAGTGTATTCGGCCCAATCACTTTACGAGGTGGTAGTGGTTCCGGCTCCAAATGATACATTGTCAATGGCAAGTCATTGGAAGCTGACTCAGGCGAAGCTTCTGCTGCAGAAGTGCTCTTTTCAGAAAATACACTGGATGGTGCACTATACATGGACGGGATTCGATCCGTGCGACATTGCCGGTCATCCACGTAGAGTCCTTGTCCAATCTCGTTGACACTAAGAGTGTGTGGTGTGGCATCAAAAATCTGTGTCATTTGGTCGGGTCGTTGTTTCTGCTCCAGTAGAGAAGGGGATATCGTCTCATTATCTAAGCATGCCTCCTATTAAACAAATGCTTGCTTTCTCATATACGCTAGTTCTTGTCCTTACCTGAATTTAACATGACCCACGATTCGGTTTCCCAGGCCTGCTCTTGCTGATCAGTGTCCTCTAAAACATGCTGAACTGCCCAATCCTCCTCTTGTGAGTCCACATTCGTCTCCAGTCCCATAAACTGCTTTGATCCATCAATCTCCTTAAGAGCCTTTTCGATCAGCTTTAACCGAGTCTCCAAAATCTCAACGTATTGCTTTGGAGGGCCACGTTTTGGGGGAAGCTTTGCAAATACGCAAGGCGTTTCATTTTTGTTACAGCGTTGGCAAGGATACGCTCCGTCGCATTTTACCTAAGAACAAAAAGTTGTTGTTATGTAACGGAGATTGTAAACCTATCTGAAACTTATCAAGTTACCTTGCGTTTACGGCATTCGTCGCAGGCGCGGGTCGTTTTGGCGCGCTTCCCTGACGTTGATGCTTTACTGCTATCAACGCCGGGAGAAGAAACGGATTCTTTGGCTGGGGACATTGCGGCAGATGCTTCCATTTTAGTCATGGTAAAATTAAGTTCAAGGTAGTAATGTTACTGTGATGAAAAGTATTCGCCGTCCCGGTGTGATCAGTCCAGATGGATAGTGCTATCTTTGCTCTCGTTTAACAATAATCAGTGTATACTGTTGGTTTGCCGTCGACCTGTTGCTACAAGTCCTGGCTTGTCGGGCCAATTATGTAATTGTAGAAAAGAAAGTTTACTCCATTCTTTCCAACACCTAAACATTTTTTATAATATCGACAAGCTTGGTGCTCTGCAGCTTTCCAAATTCAGCAAGCAATTGTAAACAATCTTTCGTAAACGGTAGTTTTTCGAACTCTGAAAAAATCCAACCTGCATGTTTCTTTGATTCATTTAACCACTACTGCTGTTCCTTCTCTCATGGTGTATCTTCCTTAACACTGCGTGCCCTCATTTGCCATCAATTCTGTTATAGAACTGGGTCTTCCAAAGGAAAAAATACATCGACATGCCTCGCCTTTTCTTTTTTGAGCCATTTATAAACGACCACCTTACACGTTTCTACGTAAGAAATCCATATGCACTTCCATTAAACCGACGATCTTTTTATACGAGCGGAAGAAAAACATCACCAAGTTCATGGTCTTTATTTGACTAATGTACCTGGATGTGTCCTCTTGAACTTCTAAATTGAAAAGTAGCAATTATCATTGTAAAACGGTACCCGCATTTGTTTACAACGCACTCGATTATCTTGATCATCCTCTTGTGCGTCTATACAACCCAGAGTGGTCAAACTCCCCTGAAGAAACTCAATGCATCTTCCATCACGCATTATTATATACTAAACTGATCCAACATTTTGCAGAGATCTATTCATCTAACTTTTCCGACGAATGTATACCGTCCTTGCGCATTCCTGAGCATGAAAGAATTGCATGCATCATGAGAACGCTTGCACGCCGACCGAGAGTTCTTGTTTCGTGTCGTCTCTACTTTGGATGAATGTGCTTGAGCCGATTATCCACAACACAGGCATAATTAGCCAAAAAAAAAAAAAAAGATGGAAGTATGGCTTGGGCAATGGATGCAACGTTATATCATTCACAGACTTTGTAAAGTAGTGCCTTGAGTCAACTTAGTCAGTTTCTTCTCACCACGCTTACAACACATAGGTGAAATTAAATTATTATTGCTACCCTTCGTCTCAATATCAAACAATGGCCGAGTATGCTAAACTACATTCAGACTCTTGATATATTCTTAGGAAACCCTGTGCAATTACGGATTGACAAGGGGCCAGATTACTGTGTAAGGTGATCGTTTATTCTGTACCATCTCGTTCACCGCATAATAATTTGTCTGAATTCCTTGTCCTCACTCAAATTGTTACCCAAGTAGTTCATAATCAGCTGTGGGCAATTATGCACTTCTTCCAAACAACAAAGCTGTTTTAGTTTCACCCCTTTCCATAATGGATTAAAGACTACATTGTTGACGTGAAACGTTCAATCCCATTACTTGACTTCGACTCAAGTCAATACGCATCTGCTAGTTCGATCTTTCCACTCTCTTGTCACCTTTATTCCCTTGGAGATGTAATTTTCCCTATTTTAGCTAGAAAGCAGTGCGAATCACGAAACACAGCATTTAATTCAATATTTGGGGCTAAAAATTAATTAGTGTATCTGTGGGTATATGGAAATGTTTTGAAGAGATCTGTCTCTAAGGGAGTCACCAGAAAAGTTTATCTACGACAGCAGAAAAGTCATGCTATGTTATGTTTTCCTATACTCTAGCAACGTAAAAGGGGCGCTATTTGCGACAGTCAATGCCAACAAGAATTGTACTTTTGGATCTCTTCATCCATTTTAGCTACAAAGAGACAGAATAAAGCGACCTCATATGGGAAACGACAATGATCTGCCATTCATTCTAAGATGCCAGTTCTCTTAACCATGTATGGATTTGCTCTTCCCTGCCCTCGTGCTTGGAACATGACTAGGTACGTGAATCAGTGTCTGGAGACGGTGTCGGAACGCATGCAACCAGAAATACTCCAGCGACAGGTTCTGAAAAGCGAATAGGAAATTATTTCTTCAGGAATAAGAAGTTCAAAACAAAAATCTTGGTAGGTGACCGACTGTCAGTTTTCATACCTCATGGCGAAGACTTACGGGCTGCAGATGTACACAATGACCCGGAATGATCTCGAAGCAACCAGTGAATGCTGCATCCGTAGGATCGCATCTTGTTTGTCATCCTCCGACGAAGCAGCAAATGAAACACTTGTGTTGACCTCAAAAAATTAAACTAACACTAATACACCTGTCGCTTTGCAGGAAATGGTAGAATAGCCCAAACAGAGTGATTCGAAACCAGAAGTCGCCGCCAGTCCAGCGCATAGTTACTAGGCATAGGCTTATTAAAGTGACGGATAGTAGAGGTAGAATCAAAACAATAGTGCTTCCAGCGCATTACCAACTAATAACAGAAGTGGAATTATTGGGATTTTAAACCACAAGACGTCAACGCAGATTTCCATTCAGCTGCTGTAACAAGTGGCTTTCGCTATCAGCGCCTAAAAAAGGACCCTCAACCTGCCGGGTTCAAAAATAGGGATTCAGAAGTCGTTACAAACCGTGCCGAAATGACTAAGGTCCTTCCCAGTTCCTTGGTTCACAGCCTGACAATAACGATACGTTTGATGCCATGGCTACATTCCCTGGGAGCCTGTAAACGCAAGGACTGATCCTATTAAGGATTACTTTGTCCGGAATCAACATTGGAATTCAAAACTGGCTCTGCCTTAGGAAGCTTAGCAAGAGCTAAATTGGTGGCAAAAATTTCGTAAAGTGGAACGATCGTGTTATCCTAAACCCAGACCAAGACAATACCGCTTGGTTAAAAATCGAAACTAGGTTGGGGAGGAGTCGGCTTCAGAAATTCCATTCAAGGGACATACAGCCTACTTAGCTTTTCGTCATTCTATATAAAATTATTTATGAAAGAGATTGTGCCAGAAGAAGCAAAGATCATGCTTGACGGTGAACAACATCTGAGCTGCTACAGCATAGCAACCTCCGAGTAATCCTGGCATTTGAAGCCTTAAGCATTGGCAAAGGCTCAGAAAATTTTATTATATGCCGTGAGATCTTATGCTTACAGCTTATTTGTTAAACAGGTACCTTATAGTAACTAATACCTGTAAGGAGCAAAAATCAGGGCTTATATGAACAACCTAGCCCTTGCAATGCATAACCGGGCAAAACAGATAAAATTAACACCTCCTACATTAAATTTATTTATCTTTTAAGGCCTGCAACCAAAAGTATAACTAGATCCAAATCAACCTGATATTTAAAAGAACTGGCTAAAAGACTCTTTCCTATAAGCGCGATGGTTTTACTTCATACGATTGTAAATTACAAATACCTTCTGCTTATAGCAACATGCATAGCGGTTACAAGTGGAGAAAATCAACCCGTAATTAACAGTAATGGTGTTATGCTTGAACCAGGTAAGACTTGCAGTTTTCATTAGTGTGATGCTATTGATTAGTGTCTAATTTCTCGGAATGTAGCTCTACTCGCTAATGATTCAGATGTCATTATTTTATCAAGTGATTACGATATCGCCATTCCTCAAATTTTAACACCATGGTCGAATACTGACGACCTGTTACTGAGTAGTTCGCTAGGCCAGCTTTTCTTAAGTGAGCTTCTAACCGAGGAGGAAATCGTTCCTGATTTCCGCCGCCTGACGAATCAGCAGCGGATGTACAAGGTTTTGTTTCAAAAGTTTGGCTCAATGATCGCAGCAGGAGTCAATGTCCAAGAGACCGATGAAAAGCTATGGAACTTTTTCCAGGCTTTAGAAAATACATTGTATCCATGGATCCACACGAGCTTTAAATCTGCCTTGGACATCGCGAATGCCACCAATGGGTCGGGTATTGTGTTTTGTGTTGGAAACAACCATTATGCACACGCAGTCACCTCAATTAGAGCCATTAGAGAAGTTCTAAACTCTCAGATTCCGATTGAGATATTTTACATTGATGAAAAAGACCTCTCGCCCGCAAACCGGGTGTACTTTGAAACGGAATTCACCAATGTCAAAACTGTGGATATTTCCAAAATACTTGATCCCAAATGGACCAAACTCGGTGGCTGGGCCATTAAGCCATTCTCGATGTTAGCGTCTAGCTTCACTGAGGTCATCCTGATAGATGCAGATGTTTTCTTTTTCCGAAAACCAGAAGACCTTTTCAGTGACCCTGCATACCTTAAAACGGGTACATTGTTCTTTTATGACCGCACCATACTTCCCAACTGGACAAAAGGGCGAGACTGGTTACTCTCCTTTTTACCAAGTTATAGCACCCAGATCTCGCGATCCAGATGGTGGAATCTCACATCGTCCCATGAACAGGAATCTGGGGTAGTAGTCATTAACAAATCCAAATCGCTTCTCGGACTTCTATCCTCTTGTAAGATGAATGCGAAGAAGGAGCGCGACGAAGTCACATACAAGCATGTTCATGGCGACAAAGAAGTAGGTTTTTCCCCATGATACGTTGAGGAAATCATTATGATGGGTTTATTAACTTTCGTTTAAAGACATTTTGGGTTGGGTACGAAATGACTCAAACTCCATATGCATTTATTAGATCATATGGAGCAGTTTTAGGTGGACTTGCCCGAGAAGGTGATGCTAATCGAGTATGTGGAAATCAGCTTCATCTTGGTACAGACGGGCGACCTTTTTGGTGGAATGGAGGCTTGGCTCGTGACAAAAACAAGCACGCTGACGAATACACTGAGTATACTCACTTTGCCACTGGAAACCGCTGGGAATTCTCAACCAACTGCATCGAAGAGACCGATCATGTCAACCACACAACTCCGGAAGAACAACATATTGTTGAGAGATTTATACAGCTTGATGTCATTAGAAAGCAGCAAGAATCAATGGCCAAAAACGGCTCAGTAGTTGATCCAAAGTAAAAGAGTTCGATGTATGCCAATGAATAGATTCTTTTAGGATAAGGAGACGTTGATTAACAGCGTGATTCAAACATTTTACTACCAAAAACTTCGTAAACCTGTATGGAAGGAGCCCACTGAATCCTTCTGCAATTCACATTGTTATTCAAGTGTTCCTACCACCTTAATCACTACATCTTTTTGCATTGTGTTTGCGGGATCAGATTTTTGATCAGTTTATTATTTCTGAGCGCAGTAACAGTACCACAGCATCAGTGGTGGACGCAGAATGTGATGCGTTGCATCGTATTCCTGAGTCCTGCCTACATAGACTAAGCGTTGAATAAGTTCGAAGTCAACGCATAAATGGAAGAGGCCCTCTGATGTTATTATATGTCCCCACCACTTTACTCACAGCATCGTTTCGCATTCTGTTCGTAGGATCAGAGCTGTCGATGACCACTCAGTCGTTCTCCCTCAGTCAGCATGTCTGTCATTATATCAGCCCTCGCTTTCGAACAAATTCTTCAACAGGATTCAAGAACGATGAATTGGTAGTTAAGTATAGAAATTTATGATCTCCAGCCTTAACTAAATTTCGACTGCAATCGGAGCATGCATGGGGCATTGTCCGTTATCAGATAATAGCCGTTGGTGTTGTTTTTATGCGACACACCCATAACATTGCAAATTATGTTAGTTAGTGTGCTGTACGCGTGCTAATTCTACCGTTAAAGTCATACAACAACCTCCCATCAACTTTCCTCTTATTAGACGATACAACAGCCTGTACAGTATCTCTTTGGATATGAAGCAGTTCACTATAGCCTAGTTGCCTCTGTAAATTTGCCTTTAATACAAATGTACGTATTTATGTCATAAAAACAAATGGCATACATCTTGCTGTACCTTTTACACCAAATGCTCAAATCGGCTATCCATGGCAACAGCAGTATACTGGAGAGCGCGTAGATGTTGCAGGGCGAGTTTGAGTCTATATAACTTAAGCATTCACCGGAGAAAATAAGCATTAATGCTCACTACTAAGATTGAAGTTATCATCCATAATCGAAAGTCAACTTACCTGGTCCTGGCGTTCAAATGAGCTATCACTGAGAAGGACAAATCCATTGGTTGAGTTGATGCCGCATTGGAGTGGTCGAGTGTAAATCGATTGTATCTGGCGATGAC